CCTCAACCCTTGCAGTAATTCATTCAGAATACCATTTATATATTATGAAAATGGCGTAGCACATACTGCCAGAAATAAATTTAACGTTATTTCTCAACATTTGACCTCGTTTTCCTAGTTTCTTTACGACCCAAGAAGAGGGGCCTTGGTGTGAGGTCATCTCCAATTATAATTTAGACAATATTTCTTTCGCTAACTTCGAAAAAATTAATAAATATAATCAATACGTTATAGACCGAAAAGAGTCTGGGGTTAGATAATATATCCAACCTAATGCACAAACATTTTACTACTAAAGCTATTGCCTACGTAAACGAGCTTTTTAATTTGATTAGCTATATCTTCCCAAATCGTTGGAAATTAGCAGAAGTTACCAAATTAAAAAAATTAGGAAACTTTGTTAGACTATCGTCCCATAAGACCCTGCTTTGGCAAAGTATCGAATGCTTGATACTCGCAAGATTAAAAAACTTGGCGAAAAGAAAGAACATTATACCAGAGTGTCAATTGGTACGGATGCTAAGACTTTCAAAATGTGTTACTAAAGCCTTTAACGATCGAAAATACACCGCAATTATTTCGAGAAAGCATTCGATAAGGTTTGACACAGAGGACTTCTCTACTAATTGGTCAAGTTTAACTTTTCTATGTCCTTAGTCCCGATGACATAAAATTATTATTACATAGAAAATTAACAGTCCATATCGGAAGGGACGGTACCTTCCAATCTGGGAGATTTAAACGTTGGAGTCCTTCAAGGATCACTTCTATCTCCGCTTTTACTTCCGGTTCATATGGTCACTCACAGATCAACTAGTGTATCACTGGAACAGTATACGAACGACACAGCTATATGCTGCGGCGCTGGGTAGTAAACCTATAAAACTTTATTTGTACACTTTGTAAACCTCTGTAGATCAATGCTTTTAAGAGTCAGTAAAGATATTTCAATAAGAAAAGTTAATATTCAGAAGCGCTTAACTCTATATATATTTAAAACTGCTATTCCTTGGTGCTCCGAGTTAAGTACTTAGGAGTTAATATAAACTATAAATTAACTTGGAACGGTCATTTCGAGTATGTTCTGGGAAAAATGAACGCTGCCAAGAATGTCTTATACCCATTAATATGTAGGCGCAGCAAACTCCACCTTAAAAAAACAAGCTGCCTTTATATAAATCCATTATTCAATAAATTATGGTTATGTGCCTCCGTTCGTTTTTCCTACCCTGAGTCATTTAAATAGGCTCAAAATTTTCAAAACAAACTCCTCGGAATTAACACTGATACTTCATTGTTTCATACGTAATGCTCAGTTACATCGTGACTGCCAAATGAAAACAATCAAGACTTCGTTTTACATATTGCGACTAAATACTATAAAGAATACAGTGAACATACCAATAGTTTATTAGCCACTTAGCTGTTAGCTATAATCTAGACCAGTATAAGAGGTACTGAAGACCTGAACACATCTTAAGATCCCCTTCCTTTGAACCTCGATTTACAACCCTAGTTATTTGTGGTTTACCCATTTATAACAGAGTTTAATTTACACTTTATTATCATTATTATTTAGCGGTGAACCCTTATATAGTAGTGAAAGAATACATATAAATTGTTATTTCAACTCTATATATCGACATAAGTATTATAATTCAATTAAAAAACATAAAAAAACAGCGTATTTAGTATTTATATATTATCACTTAAATTGTTTTATTATTTTTTTACTTAACTCACTTTATTCTAACAATATTTAATAATAAAATCTGTTTTTTTTGGTTTAATTGTTGCTTTGTACTTCTTTCGTCTTATAACTTGCCCATCGGCTGGTACGCAGGCATTGAAGATTAACTCTCTTTGAGGAGGTACGGGCCCTTCTTTACCTCTCTTATAGTTTAAGAGGGAATAAGTATTAAGCAGCAAATAGTGCTATGTATTTCGACTGTAAAATTTCAATAGAAAATAAATGAATAAATAAAGATTAAAGGAAATTCTAAATTTCTTTTCTTTCATTATTTTATATATACATTTTTGTATTATGTTTTTTTCTTTACACTGGTATTCACTTAACTTATTAGTTCTTTTAATTTATTCTATTTTTCTTTTTCATCCGAAAACAATAACTAAACGATATGCAAGGTTCTACTTTACAATATTATAAGACTCCAGTTTGGAGTATTCACAACTTCGAAATTCATATTAACTACTTTAATGGATCATTGACATCAAACTTTCTGTGCCAGATGTTAAAAAATAATAATCATTTGATCTAACCGACTAACGGCGTTTACTGAATAAAGAACAACAGAGCAGCAATTGGAAAACAAAAGCTTATGACTTTGTTGTAAAATTAGGGTTGATACATATACATGTCAATTATCTTACTACATTATTACCTTTAATAAAAATGCACTAATTAGATTGCATTTAATTACCCGAAGCAAATTAACAAACAAAGATATAAATATGTAAACTGCGTGTTTTATTTTAACACACCTCCGTATCGCACAGGAGCTAATTATCTTAAAGACCTAAATAGTAAATTGAGGACCAGCTATGGCTAAAATCTCATTCGATGAACAGTAGTTTAAAAAGGCACTTTTTCTCTACATTCGTCTTTAACAATATGAAATTTTTAACGTCTATTTGTCTTGACAATTTTCTCCCATTTTACTATGTGCTATATGTATCGAGGGTTGTTTATCGGTCAAAACACTAATAGGATAGTCAACTAGACAATTCTTTAACACAGCATTCATCCATTTTGCCCACTTTATGCTCTCCGCTATAGCTATGTATTCTGCTTCGGTAGAAGAAAGAGATCCACCCCATGCAACAGAACATTCATTTATCATGATTAAAGTAGCAGACCTGGATTTTCTACCAGACTCAGATGCTTAACTAGCGCAGGGTACAAAAATCTTTTTGTAAAGCGGACTATATAGCTTTTAGTAATGTCTAGCAAGTACTACATTCATCATAAACTTATTAAGTAAGGTAATTCCCAAGTCCTCACTTTCATTGCGTCTACTTTCAGTTAATAAAGTTGCAGTTAACATGTTAAAAGATCAGACTTCTCTAAAGAGGTTGCGCTACATAGACATTTCTTACCATTTTGTCTTACAAGCTCTTCATCGAATAACATATCATGCTGCTCATATAAATTCGGAGAAAAAGTTTGCTGTTATATTTATAAACCATTTTAAAGCAGAGAGTGGAATAATTGATTAACAAAAAAAATCAAATAAGCTAAGAATATGTATAATTCAGGTTATAATGAGATAGAAATTTACACTAATCTTTCAGCAACTAGATGTATTAACGTATGAAAATTTTTTACGAAATTAAAATAATATTTAAAACATAAACATAAGGATTACTTAGTGGATAATTAAACTTGAAATTTTGCATTGCTATTTTTATTTATTTTATAAAGTATATATAGAAAGATCAACAGTAAATAAGAGATAACCGGTTTTTACTCATTTCCTTCTTTTTTTTTTCATTTGTTGTTTTCGCTTACCTTTTTGTTCAATATTCTTCATGGAACAGCGGGAGGGACAATTTGAATATAAGATCTTAGAACAATGAGCGGAAAATAATTGTTTTTGTTCCAGCCCTCTTTATACCTAGACCTCGCTCAACTAAAGACTTCTTTGATGCGTTAGACAGCTTTATTAGAAAAACTATGCATATTACTAACCTTTTTGGATTATCAACTAATCGTGATCCAGGTATCCAGCTGGTTTGGAAGTATAAATCGGGTTAATACAAAAAAAAGCATAAAGGGAACCAACTGTGTTCATTTAAGAACACAGTAGTTAATTTTTAACCATCGTTTCCAGTTCCTTCCTGTTCCATACCGCTGCTACTTTTTTTTTAAACAAGATAAGTATGGAAAACTCACGAAATTGTTAATTTTCAAATATCTTTATTTTCTTTTACATTAAGGAACTTATTAGTAAAGTTTTAATACAAAATATATGAAGAGCTCCAAGCAATAAGTTAGCCTTAAAGTAGATGAGTAGCGCGGTTAAACATGAACTAAATACTTTTTTAACAACCTTTGGAATAAAAGCCAATATATCCAAACCTGTCCCATAATATAGTAGAGAAGATGACAAACTTTGGAACTCGTAAAAGAGTGACTGCTATACCCTTTATTATAAAGGAGAAATTACTTATTTCAACCAGGAAGGGCTAATATTTTTTGGAAACTTTATTTCCTCAGAGCATGCCTTTAGCCATTCTTAGTAATATAAAGAAATACTACGAGAGTAACTAAATTATTTTACTTTTGCAAAGATGCATTTCCTCCTAATTATTAAGTGTTTACGAATGAAAAGGAGGTTTAAACTGAAATCAATAAACTTAATTTAAAAATTAGTAAGGGCCCTCATGGTATATCGTATCTGATTCTAAAAAATTTTTCTTCAGCGGCGATTTTATATCCTAAAATTTTATTTATTTCGATTCCAATAGGGTTACTTTAACAAGGTCAAAAGAAACAGAAGTTTTCTTTTATACCAAAAAGCAACCATACTAACAGCTATGCTAAAGACTATCGATCACTTGGTTCATGTTCATGACTTCTGTTATTTTATTGATAATTAGTAATGCTCGAATAATATAACAAAAAGATGCTTCGTAGCAAGGGAGGATGCATTGACGGCCTATTTCATGCTTTGAGGCGGTCTTTTGGGGGCTATAGTAGAATGTAACAGGTAAAATACGTGAAACCATCACACCGAGATCGAGAGGTTCTCGTCGTAGCTCAGCGGTTAAAAACATTGACGCGCGTACTCAAGGACTCGTGAGTTTAGATTTTCACCGACGCGACTCTCTTTTCTGATTTTTATGGTTGCGGTTTAACCTCGCCTCATAAACTCTAATAGAATGTGCGTAGTCTCCTCATTTATTATTGAGTAACAAAAATTTTAAAATAAGGAATTTTCTACTCCAAAACCCCCTTTTTTTTGAATTAAACTAATGAAGGCAATATTTGAATGGATAAACTGTTTCCAAAGTTAACTCAAGATATTGCTCTCGATGATTAGGAAGATTTCTGTTGTTAAAATGGTTATTTGTAAACTATACTAGTTTATTATTTTAAATTCTTATAATATTAAAATGAAGGGGTACTTTAAAAAGAGTATACCAACTACAAGAGGATGTTGTTAGCTGTCTTATTGAAGATAAACTAAAAGAATACCCTTGGCGTTACCTGGTTGCAAGTCGAAAATTTTTCTTTTACAAACTTACTGTATAATAATTAAACTCACTTCTATTATAAATATATAATAAAGGGTTTTTATAGGCTCCTCCTAGGCAATTTGGCATTTTAACTATAATTGACATACCTTTAGAAAAGTGCTTTTTTTGTTCTTATAACGTATTTTTTAGAATATATCCTTTATAAAATTAGGGGAAAGCTTGGTATTACTTCTTCCATCAGAGAGAAATTAGCACCAGAAATTTTGCATTTACAGATTCTGCGTATTGATTTAATATTAAATTATATTAGGCCCACTGACTTACCTTTAATATTAAATAACCTCCTTATTATATAGTCTCCTTGCATCCTTATATTTTTTCAAGTTTTTAACTTAAATATTTGAACTTTATTTGAGTCTAGTTTATAAATCTATTACAGCGCTGTATTTTTCCTTGTTCAGAAAAATAAACTTATGTTTAGAACAAATAACCCAAAGATACGGAGAAAAAAACTTCGTGCTGCTTGCTTGTTTCGAACTCGCCGGGAGGCCTTGTCAAATAAAATAATAGTTTCATAAACACGTGCATCGCCTATACTTTGTGTATCAGACTTTTGCTGTACGCAAGAACCCGAGAGACCTGTCCCTCGTTCAGTATGCCCTTGGAGCTACAGGATACAAGCGCCCCCGCGGAAAAAGGCTTCTGCTAGTATTTATAAGCAATTTTTGTTTCCTTACGAACCATTGCGCAGGCAAATCTGTTCATCGAAGGTCTCGGGCATCGGCACCTGGAGCACCTTTCTCCCCCTGAAGATTCTGGAAAGTATAGTCCTCATGTAAATCTTTTATTTATAATAATAACTTTGCTGTCATTTTTTTAGGTGCTTTCTTGTTTATATGTCCAGCCTTGCGTTTTTTGAGGACACGCGTGTCGCCCTAGTCGTCTGCAGGATTATTTAAGAAACCTTATTCGTCAACGTCACCGGTTAGTACGCCTGGCCGCTGTTACACAAACCCTCGACGACAAACTAACTCTAATCCGCTTTCGCAGGCACATTGGAAAAGAGCGCTGCTTCCGTAATAATCACTGGTACGCGAAACTGCAGGACGTGTTTGTAGCAGCTTACGAAGGAAGACCATCTTTAAGCTTAGTGCGTTCCGCTAACTTGGCTACCTTGGGAGAGGGAGACATGACCTCCTAAGCCCCCTCACTTATTAACAACCGGCTGACTAATCCAAGCACAGCTGGCGGAATCGCTTTTGTAACCTCTGAACTCTCGCTTCTAAAAGCACCTGGCCCCCAACGGCATTTTATAAAACTCTTAAAAAGTTGCCGCCTGTAAAGATTAGCCACTTTTCACGTTTGCAACTTCTGCGTGATCTCCTGACTTCTTCCCAGCCGCGATGGAAAATAGTCACTGTTGTGATGCTCTCTAAGACTCCGCGTCCTTCAACAGATCTAAGCGGATATCCTCCTATTTTGCATAATAACGACAGTGGGTAAAATTGTGAGGGCTGTTCTACTACGGTGATTCGAAGAATTTGTATAAACATATAAAGCGCTTCCGAAAATTCAATTCAAACTTCGAAACTGTCATCGACAACACCACAATTTCAAGCTTTGCTGAACGGACAATCGGAAAATTTTCATTTAAAGAAGTTCACGGTCGTCTTTCTCGAGGTTGAAAAAACCTTCGAGCGCGAATGGCATGACGGACTTTTACACAAATTCTGGGTACTGTTTACGGTATCAGCGTCGATTCTATGCGAACGCACCTTTCGAGTGAGAGTTGGGGCTGCTGTATCGCCTTATCGTCGACTGAGAGCTGTTATTCCGCAAGACTCTTTGCTCTGACCACCATACTTCGCCCTATAGAGGCGGGACATTTCACCTCCTGAAAACACCCCGTCCAGATCGCACCCTACGCCGATGATACCGCTGTTTATGCATCCTCTAAGAGCCCCTCATTATTAAGGCAACACGTACAACGCTACCTGAAAACATCTGTCAACTGGTGCAGGCGGTGAGGTGTAAGCATTGATGGAAAGAGAAGATGCTCCACACTACTCTCGCCTCTAATTCTGAAAGTTGTTAATCTCTATGGAGCTCTTATGCCAAGTACTTGGGTGTCATCATCATTAAGCGACTAACTTGGCGGCATCACGAAGTATTTGTTGCAGCTAAGATCAAGCTTCAATCCACGCGCTTACCCACTGTTGAGCACAAAACGCGCAATGTTTCTGCTTAATAAACTTCGCTTGTGTAAAGTACGCGTACGCCCTATAGTGGCTTACGCATCTGCGGCTTAGATATATATAAAAGCAGATCGTAACAAAACAGGCTACTGCACCTTACTTCATGCGTATTGACACCTTGCACAACGAGCTGAGTTTAAAATAACTTGATAACTTTTTAAGGAATGCAACTACTGTCTTTTTTGAACGTGTTTAAAAGCATCTTAACCACCTGTGGGTCCAAGAACTTACTATGAACCCTGGAAAGGCGCACGCTTTGACAGCCTCGCAGTGCACTTCGAATGCACAGTTATATCTTATATCTCCACACATATATGTATAATATGACGAGGTAACTGGCGGAAACTAAATACAGCCTCCGCCAATAATCTAAATTATTAGGCAAACTAAGCATTTTGCGCTCGATATTATTTAAGCCGCATAAATCATACAAAAAAATTAGCCTCGACAGGTCTCCACTTTTTCTTTAAACTGTTTAATTTAATTTTACTAAAATCTATTTTCCCAAGCAATAGGACAAACGCTGACGTACTAGAAGCTGTAATACTAAGATAACAACAGTTTTTTTATGTAAAATAAAAGTACTTGAACTGCCAAATTAAGTTTGGGCTCAGTCATTATTATAATATGGTTTCTAAAACGCATCTCAAAAGCGTTTAAAAAAAAAAAACTTTAAGTATTTTAAATTATATTTGTGTAGTAAGTAAGGTCTCATTATCCGCTCTCTTAATATGAGAGTTATAATACAAATAAAAGCAGTAAGATTTTGGGGCCTTATTATAAAGAATTTAAGCAACAGAATAACGCGGTGCTCGTAATCCTTTATAAATGGATTCTTAATATTGTTTCTGATCGATTTTTTAATGGAATGGGATACATGATCTTAAACGATTGACAAAATAGGAAATGACTTGGTACATGGCTAACCTGTCAAGTTGGACCCGTCTTGAGAGGAATAGTAAGGGGAACTATATCTCGCCATTTAATGCAGTAGATACCCATCTTAAAGGATGCAGAAAACCATTTATTAAGGTATGAATCCTTGCATGGTGTTTTTCCAAGTTTCCTGGAGTAGATGATTAAGAAAATAAAGTTTATTGCTTTTTTTTGGGCATGGTTTAAGTAACATCAACGATAAGCCAAAGATTCTGGACACCTTACGTACAGGCCCGTAGCACAATATAGAAAAATTACCAGACCCTCAATTAGGTGAATGATGTATATAATCTTCGTGCGACGAATATGTCGCATCTCACGGTATATTATGGAACGCTATTATCACCTCGTGTTTTTAGCGTTGACATAAAATATCATAATTATAAAGCGAGGCATCTGCCGCGGGGTTCACAGAAGTTCTTATGCAATAAAAAGTTTATTTTCTCGAGCGTCGTCTGTTAACCTTGGAAACTACATGATTTGGCTTGCTTTTGTCCTTGGAACCCTAGGTTATCAAGTTTACGGTATAATTATATGAGCCACTTCGGTAAAAAAAGAACCACTCTAGATTTAGAACTGGAAGGTCTACGTCGTTTAGGCATCCACATTTCCTGGTTTTGAATAGGAGATGCTCTGTTTGGTTTGGACCGTTTGCGTTTAGATCGAGCGTTGTTTCTTCTTTAAAGTTGCTAAAATTACGAAAGCAAAGCAAGACTTTCAATTCTATACTTTTTCCTCTGCAAACAACTCGTCATATCTAAAAGAAGCTTTTCAATGGCTTGCGAGTCAATAGGTTTGTCGGGTAACTGCTCCGCCAACCTGTAAGAGTAGAGTATGAGTAACAAAAAAAATACTTCAAGTTAAAGAGTTAACAGTTCCGCCCGTTCATCATCAAACTTTTGGCAAGTTAGGATCAATGAGGCGAGAGCCTTGGTGTTGCTGCGGTTTACAAGGAAGACCTCTTCATAGCAAGAGTAGGCGCTTTCATACTCCTCTTTGGAATAGTATACATGACCAAGAACCAAACGCACATCCTCCAAGCGGTGTGCCTATTTAAAGAAAAAGAACATTTGCAGTTGGACTGAAGGTAGCGGAAAAAATAAGCTGTCCTCGTCTACGATTTCAAAAGGAAAAAGCAATTTAAACAAGACAAAAAAACGGACGCTTACTTCAGAAGTTGAAGCGTTGAGGCGCGTGAGTACTTCCACCGCAGCATCCCACTTTTTAGCGCTTCTATACAACGAAACAAGAGCAGCAGAAATACCCGGCCCCGCTTCAGAGGGTAAAACAAAAGGCGGAAATTCTAAGAGCTAACAAAATGTGAAAATAATATCATTGTAAGGGCAATAAAGTGCCTCTATAGCCCTTTGGAAACTTCCGGTTTTCGCGTGAATCTGACATAAGGCCAGAAGACACTCAACGCTGGAGAGTCGACCAACGGAGGCCTACAAAAGAGTAACCACAGGTATATACAAAAAAAAAACATGCCACCTCGAGAAAGGTTAAGGCGGCGGTTTCCTCATGACTAGCAAGCAATGCAGAAACTTTAAGCAAAATCGGATCAACCCAGGCAGTAAACTCTTTACAAAGTTCCTGGCATTCCTGTCGGCAATCTAAGAACTGTGTTTACCTTAACCTCAAATAGTATATAGTTGAATTAAAAAAATACACGCTGATCATAATAGAGCTGCCTTGCAAAATTAATTTTTAAGATTGCTGACTGAAAAACTGACAAATTACTACTAGCCCCCAAGCGAATGGACTCAGAAAGCTTTTAAAAAAATAAGGAACATAATATGAGCGCAAGCAAAAGTAAGAAAAGTACAGAGAGAGGTCTTGTGCGCTCCAAAACACGCAGGTTAGCCTCGGCAACAAGAATTAAAACATCATCACCCGCCACACTAAGAAGGAAGTCACTAAAAAACAAAGTTAAAACCGCTAGAATAAACTTAGAGTCAAGAATTCTTCGATAAACGTCCGCGGGGGAGTCGGTATGGGCTAGATGGTGAACTATAGCGATCTGCAGGGTTATAGACAATAACTCATAATCCTGATCTTTTCTCGAAAACCCGTCACTTAGGGGTAAAGCTGAGCATAGCTCTACAAAAAGTTCTTAGCTTTCTTTTCCAGGAATGGATGCCATTTATATTCACAAAACAAAAAAGAATATACGATAAGACTTTTGAAGATAGTTTAAGGCCTCTGGTAATTTTTTCCTCCACATAAACAAACAAGCAAGATTGAAGCACTGTTCATAGCAACTGGAAGAGAAGTTCAGCTCCATAAACTTTTTCTAAAACAGGTTAATTTAAAAAGATGAAATAACAATTAAATTCTAAACTTCAGTCGAAAGACAGTAAGACCAAGGGGACTCACTTAAAGCAATGGATGCGGTAAAATTAACCCCCTTTTATATTTAAAATATTTTAATATAGTTAAGGTAGTGAAAATATAGAACTCAAGTATATAAAACCAACGCTATTCAGTTTAAGATCGAGAATTTCATATGTTCTTAAAGCTTTTAAATAATCTCCTTTTCTGTAATACTTAATAAAAATAATAAAATTGTTTAAAATTTTATAGAATGTTAAAACCAGTTGAGCTTTAAGTAGCAAAAAGTTATTCTCAAGCGGATCTAGAACAAACAAAGTTCAAAAATAGCTATTATAATACTTATAACTGGTTTTTTTAAAAAAAAGATCAATTAACCTTCACTTATTAGCGCCAGTGCCTCGTCCGTACGCAACAAACGATATAAACAGTAAGCACTATGAAATTCGAAAGAAGATTCAGCTTTGGAAGTTTGAATAACACTTAAAGCTTCTTGAAATTTTCCTAAGCCAATTAAGCAGGAAACCTCTAGTTTGTAAATTTCTAAACGGTCCGGGTATTCCTTACGTACTAAAATAACAAAGTTGTTTTAATATACTAATGTTATAAGCTCATGATAAAAAAGTACGTTGAGAGCATAATTCAAGAAAAGAGTCATAATCACTATTATGTAGATAAAGCCGTAAATTCTTTATGTTTCCCGACGTAATTCGCCCAGACATCTCCAAGGCAGACTTAAATATTACAAAAACTCAAAGTCGGACCTAAAACCAAAAGACCTATGCTTAAACACCACAAGGCCTTCAAAGCCTACATGGATGCTCCCGCCTCCTTACCTAATGTGCAGACGAGATTTAGAGGTCACCACTAGAGAACACCTTAAGTGATACCCATCTTAAGGGAGCAGGATGCATTACTAAGTTATCGAGTTTTAAAAGAATCAGTAACAAGATTTTCTTAAGAACTCGTACTTTATGTGATTTTATTTTGAAACTTAAGTAGTACTTTAAGTGTTAACTTTTACTTATTATTTCAAAGAATTTCTTTAAAATAGTAATTTGAATGAACTTTAAGAGTTATTATTTTTTTGTATAATAAATTTAAATCTTATTTAAGACTTGTAAATTCCAAACTTCTTAGTTAATGGGCCCCCTACGATATAACTGGAATCTTTATAGCAGGAGTGCGTTATTGACTTGTTACCTTTACCCGTTAAATTTAATTTACGTTAAGTCTTCATGACACACAGTCACTCTATATCACACGAAAAAATTACATCATCGGAGGCCAGCGGCGATGGAAATGCTATGCTTTCTAGTAAGCGTGGCTTAATCTTTAATATTTAAAGATGTAATAAAAACCCCTTTTATTTCAGAGAAGTTCACTGAAAGGTAACGCCTAACCTAAAGTACAGAGAACCATATTTGGACTCTCAAAGCAGCTCTTTCTATAAAAGTTAAAGGTAATTTAAACAAACACAGGCTTTATTAAAATAAAAATATTATCCTGTGAAACTTTTCATTGTATACTTATCTAAGCCGTATTTTAAGAACAGCTTCTATTAATGAAGCCCCTACGTTATCAGTGGTAGTAGTCTAAGGCCTTGTAGGCTGTGATAGCAGTTTGTCTCTAAAAAGATTGGCAGACAGCTTGCTTCCCATATTCAAATGGTTTATCTATTTATTAATGGCGTTTCCCGGGGCTCGATCGAGCTAACAACTTCGATTACACAAACTCTCAAACAGAATTTTAGTCGTCCACGAGCGCAAGTAAAACTATTATCTTCGCATGTGCCCTTCACGTTCATTTTAAACCCCCGAACTTAGCTTTTAACCGTCAATGCTAGGAGTGCATCGCGTGGATGGCAGTATTGTGCGCCGTCCCAAAACTCGTAAGTGAGTGCTTCCGTTAATAGGCAATTAGCGTGTCCATCTATCCGTTTTTAAAGGTCAATGGCTTCATTTTTATAGAGTATAGTCAGCAGCTCAATCCGTAGTTAGGGTGAAGTGTATCATTGCGCACAAAACACAAAGCGTTTGTTAAAAGGCGTAGAGGATTGTTTTTGACGCACTTAAAGAGAGGACTTATTGCCGTTAAGTTGTAGGACTTAAATGAAAGGGTCCACCTTAGTTATTTATGCTATTTTGATAACGTGATGTAGGTATCCATGCTAACACCCACGCAGTTAACGTGCTAGACCAATAAATTGGTAATCAATTTACTGTTAACGCATCAAGCCAGTTTTTGGAAAATTTCCTTACCGGGGAATTTCCACCCAGAGGAGAGGTGAAATTATTTTTAAGAAATCGAGTCCTAACAGTTTTATCTAGCATTAAAGTATTCCTGAGAAAACTTAAAGATGAAAACATATGTAAATATGTAATATGTAATTTTAAACATTATATTTTGGTTGTACCACACTCTCGCTTATCTAATTTTAAATAAGCTTTTTTTCAAAACCCAATTTTAACGTAAGCGGTTAAAGTCTATAGATCGAAATTTAGTGTAACCAACGTACATAGAAAATTATATTTTTGGAAGTCATAGTACCATACTCGAATAGGGTTTGAAGCGATTTATTGTAACATTTTTCATGATACCATGACGTCATCACAGGCCTAGCCGCCGAGTAACGCAAAAGGTGGAAAAGTTAGTTTAGATTTTGTTACGAAGGTGATACACTAATTTTTTGTGTTGTCCTTTAATATAATACTTTTGTAAAAGAAAACGCATGTTACAGTCACTTTGAACTTTGTGCTTTTAAAGCTCTCAAGCCCTGCTAATAGTAATTGTTATCGTGGTTTTATAAACCATCCATCAATATATTATCTCTTTCCCGTTTAAGTGAAAGTCATTTATAAATTAATATTATATAAGATAGGCTGAAGTTTGCATTTATTAATCTTAACAAAATTTAGTTAAGAATTACGACTTTGTTCAAATATTAGCAAAAGTTATTTTATATCTAAATCTCTCTATTTTGCAACATACCTAACAATGGTAGACAGATATGTTATATTTTTTAATAACTTTTATGTCAAAAGCTGCTTTAAGATGGACCGCAAATTATTATACTACACAATAGTATTAAATAATGTCAAGTACGTCACTGAGATGTTTTACAAAGGGAATACGACAAAAAAAATTATTGTACAAAGACCTCTAAAAAATATGTAAAAATAATATTATTTGCTATGATTTGTTAATTTATTCAGTTACGCCAATTTTTTTTTTATTTAAAGTTAAAGGCCAACCATAAACAATAAAGAGCGCCCCCTTATATAATTTTATCTTTGCACCGGCCAACTATTTTTATATACTAGGAACAACCCTATTATAATACTATCCTTTACCAATACTATACTAGAACGCTACCATAAATGAGAAGAGGAGTATTATCAGCCCGACAAAACGAGCTATGCTAGTGTACCCAGTCAGACCTAAGGGAAATAGCACCCATCAAAGGTCTACTGTCTAAAGGAAAGTTTTACCATTGATTAGGAGCAGGTCTTTTTACCCGGGGGCCCAACTATTTTAAAGTTTTCCTTGGTTTATGCTAACGCTTATAGCCATATTCATAGTATTTAGGGTTCAAACATCCCCTTTGAAGATTAATATAAAGATGCTAACGAAAGCTCACTTAAATAGCTTTTCAGCTTAAGTCAAAGGAAGATAAGGAATTAAATAGGATTACTAACCAGCACAATGGTTGAATGCCACTACTTATAACGTAAAATTTGCCTGAGGTTGGCAGATCGTATCTAAGTAGAAGGTAGCTCATTCAAACTCCATGCAGTTCGCTAGAAACTACCTTGAAGTAGAAATGCTGAAATGCTAAATAGGGCCGATCTTTTTCGGTCGCTTTACGATAACGACATAGAGGCTCAGCAATTCCAATTTCGTTAATGGGTGTACTTCATTGAACGAAAGCTCACAAGTTAGAATAAAAACTAAGAGACATAGCGCTCTCACTAAGAACCCGCCCTACACAGTTGCCTTTTTGAAAGGTCTTTAAATGACGACTAACGCCCTATGATCAAAGTTTAATAAAGGACGAGACTAGTGTTCAAGATGCTAAGAATATAAAACTAGTGACCCTGGTACAGGCGTGATCGAAACAGTCATAGAGATTTATCCTTTGTACTTGTTTTTGAAGGGCTTGGCCATCTAAAATGACCTTTCATAAGTCATAAGTAGTGTCACATTACCCAAAAATTAAGGCATCATTAGGTTACGTTATTACACTCATACTAAGCTCCTTCTCTAGCATATATAAAAGATGCCCATTACTGTAAAATAATCACCGAAGGCTTTAAGATCATAGAAATAAACACTAACTCTTAAGCCAAGGTAGGGATAAAGTACTTTTGTTAGCAAAGTTAGCTAGATAGCACAAGCACTTACAAACGTGTTCGAGAGCGTCGTTCAGAGCGCGGTTAAAAAAGGATGCCATGCAGGTAAGCATCAAGAACTAACCTTGTGAGGTAATTATCCATTCTTGTATAATGAGAAGCACTCTAATATAGGTCATTCAACTAGTAAAAACTTAAGTGTAAAGTGAAGATGTTGCCGGGAATTTGTTCTATGTACTAACACCAGGATTTTACTTTTGAGCCAATTTCTATTACTCTATTTTCAATTCTAACTCTTTTTAGTTTCAAAGTTTACCTAAGACAGTCAGAAATACAAAGCTAACTCATCTAGTCTCAAACCTCCAAGAGAATAACATGCTACTATCTAGCTTTATACTTTTTAAATAATACTTACATTACTAAGCCCCTATATTACATTGAACGAGTACCAAGAATATTATCTTATATCACTTAGTAAATGTAGTTGCCTACAATTTTTAACAGAAGCGAAGTGTTTTTTAATTTTAACCTTTTAATTAATTAAAGAGTTACTTTGGAAGGTCTTATTGTGTTATAATTACAGCTTTTACACTATCACTAGCATTATCAACGGGAGGCCAAGCTCCACCTAGTTAAAGTCAGCAGCTTCTTAGGAGGTACCATTAATTTCTAAAGTACTAAGGTTATAGAGTCATACGCCTCAGCATAAGGTTACCTAATCTATTTTACTCCCATAGAATTCTCTCTCACAGCTGCTTAACAATAGCTTTTCATATCCTAGTTCCCTCTTGGTGGCTTAACTTCAAGAATAGTCTACAGGTATCAGCTTTAATTTCGTTCGCATTCTATAATTCATTTGAAGCTGCTAGTCCTGGGTGTTTCTTACACCAATACTAAGCCCCTCTCAATAATTTATATATTAGCTCCTCCAGAGCAGTTAGTAGTTAGCGACTTGGCAGATGTCAAATGCTTGAACTACTAAGATTGAGAGAATAGAGTGATTACTTCAGCGATTCGACCTTTATTCTTCAACCAATCGTCACTGGCGTAAATTAACCACTAGATTCAAGACTAGAGATGCCGAAAAGCTAAGCACTGGATTACTATATATGGTAGCGGAGTAAATTATAACCAAGGCGAAAATTTAGGAGACCAATATTACTACCGAGTTAAAGGTCCTTAGTTCCTACAGGTTCGGATTCCGTCATATCACCTTGGAAAAGAGATAACTCTTTTAGATTGCACTCTAATTAGCAAGGTAGTATTAAGATGTTTGATAATATAGTAGAGGGATATAAGATTATGTTAGCCACCCAAGAAAGAAGGGTATAATTATCCAGTATTTAGAACAACGTTAGGCAATTAATACCCTGAGGTAAAACGAGAAAAAGGTTGCGATGACGGCTTGCCGTAGAGCCAAGTGCTTGCCATAGGCAGCTATGTTTCTAAGTGGAATCAAAACAATTACCTTACCGTAAAGGAGTAATTCTAACCACTTAACTACAAAAGCAGTTTCCTTCAAGAAAGGATTGAACCTCGAATCATTTTGTATAAACAAAAGGTATTACCATTATACGTTTGAAGAACTAACCAACCCTCAAGAAAGGTTAATTAGATTGTTCTTAAGGATTGACCGTGCTGCCATTATAGAAACTACTTTCCTCAAAAAGTAATGCCCCACCCTTAGATTAACTCCTCTAAAAGTTAAGATACATAACAAGCAATATGGGACTTGAACCTATAGTACCAAGGGCCGAAACAAGGAGTTTTACCATTTACGAATTACTTTTAACCCAAGGAAGTCAAATCAAATAACTGAAAGTTAAACTCAATTACCAATCTCTAAAACCGGTTTCTTATCTTAAAAGATTACTTGGATAAATAAAAGGTTCTACTTTAGTTGAACAAAATAACTAACTAAAAATCTAGAAATGCTAATTAACTCGTCCTACTCAAGTAGCGAGTTAGTACACCTCTGACTCTGATGAACTATAGAGTAATCAAACCTCTCTCTCTAACCTAAAAAGCTAGAGCTCTATCGCTAAGCTAATAGTTGATAGGAAACCCTAAGGTGTCGAGCCCAAAAGAAGTCAACTACATTAGTGATGCAGCCCTAAAACCGTTTAGTAGGGTTTAGCCTTAATCGAAAGACCTCTCCATCTTTGTATTGACAATGAAACGTACTAGGTTAGAAACGTTCTTTCATCCACTAAGACTTGAACCTATATAATTAGCTTGGAAGACTATTACTTTACATTAAGTCACGAATTCTAGTATCAAAAAAGAAAGAAAGCAGCTAGATTTAAACTAACATTTCTCATAGCGAGAATGCTTTCAATACAATTTAGCACAACTGAGGCGTTTTTGATGGGCTAATGAAAGCGTCTGAACATCTGTAATGTTAGCCGCCACCGCTACCGCCCCCGTAGTCAAATGTCACTTTGAAATGTTCTTTTTTTCAGAGATTTGAGTTCTAACCACCGTACCAATAGAATAAGCTATTGTTAAGGAAAAGGAATTTCCAGTGCACTCTTTGATCTAAAAAAACATTATCCTTATTGTGATGGCCCTTAGCAGTACCTCGACTTTTCCTTAAATCTTTTAGTTATAAGCTCAGACAAAATGCATTTTTATCAGTTTCATTATAGCTCTCGGTGCAATTCTTTAAGAGATTTCCAGGCATCTCATAAATATGTTCCGGTATTTAACTAATTTTTACTTTCATTTTATTATTTTTTAACAGTTATCACAAGTTTCAAGAGATAGCCCGGCATGCTCCTTAGGTTCCATTAGGATTATGCCTTCTTTTCTTGAAATCGTAGAAGGGGTTAAGGTTAGGGTTAGAGTAGGTTCGCTTCGGTCCAATAGCCGGTGTGGGCCTCACTTTTAAGTATTAAGCAAATGCAATGATGGGGGGCCTGTGCAGTTTAATTTTTTAACGTTGTATCGGTAGCTAATTTTATTAGCTATTAATCTCCAACAGTTGGTAAAACGAGGACCCAGACAACTACAGTTCGTTTTACACTTCCAATAGATGTTGGGTATGAACCATGCGACTCTAAATCTGGCTCTTCTTTATAATCAAATGTGTATACTTATTATTCCGCTCGACTTGAGTTATTGTAACTTTAGCTTCTAAACACGTGGTAGCTAATTTATTACTTTTACCTTCGCACCAGTTTTAAGGTGTTAGAGGCATGATAAGATCCAATTTTTGTGCATTACACGGTTAAGGCCACTTAGTGTTAACGTTAATATAAGATGTGTAAACGGTTTTACAAAAAGTAAAATAAAAACACTATATTAAATGCCTTTTCTTTCTTAGAGAGGATAAGTTGCCATTGTTAGCTAGTACTTGAGTTTTATCTGTACCAGAAAACACTTAAGCTTTACCAATAAAATAATGGCTTCCGTTAGGTCTCCTATAAACACATTAGACAAGTTATGTGCGTAGGCATCTAAATGCCATCAAAAAGAGAAGAGTTAACGATAGCCAATACGCTAGAGAATTAGGCTGACTAGGAATCATAATGTGAGTAAACGGTAGGGACGGAATGTCTATAGTTGCGAGGTAGAAACTAGCCGAGTAGCAAAGACCTCGGATGGCTTTAGAGGTTTAAGAGAGTCCCCTTTCCTGGAGCACTAAAGCTTGTTCGCGATGTGCACGGTTGTAATGCAAGTAGTCAACGTATTCAAGTATTCCAGTAGGGCGTCAATGAATCAAGTAGGGCAAAACAAAAAAAATTAGAGGAAAAAAAACAAAAACATAAGTAGGACTGGTAAATTAAAATAATCAGTAGTAAGCAACTCCCAAAAATGTTAAAAATATAATTACATGGACAAGAAAGCTCAATGGCCGGCAGGGAGGAGTAACTAACTATTAAATTACCTTTTTTAGAAACTTACTTTTTACTTACTTAATCAAAGTATGACCGCGTGGTTCATACAACTACACTGTATCCCTTCCAAGCATTGACAAACAGAGAAGTTTAGTTGTAAAAAGTAAATTGCAATTACGCCATAAGCTTTAGTGGTGATATATAAACGCAAAAAAAAATTTTTTTTAGCGAAAAGCAACTTCTTCATCTCCCCACAAACTTTACATTTAAACTTTAATTAAGGAAGAAGTTAATCTCTCAAACTAACTTATTCTTTGGTCAGTATAAAAAATAATTGCAAAACAGTTATATGCAAAAAACTCATCTCAACTGTAGCGCTTTGTGCAAAATTAAGTAAACCCTTAAATATTATACTTCTTGATATAGTTTACTCGCTTTCTGTAAGTAGAACATCTTCTATCTTTAGTAAGAAATGCACATGACAAGTACTAGCGATCGACATCTACACAAGGATCCACAAAGAACAGAACCAATTAAAATTTTCAAGAGGAAGAACCAAACATATAAAAGCTTTTACTAACAATAAAAGCAAGACCAACATTTATAATTATTGAGGGGTTAAAAAGTCAATTATTCGAATAAAAAGATTTGTTAGTGATCATAAGGGCCCAAAATCGCAGTAGCAGTAGGTTGATCCAGCATATTCAAAACCTATTATTATAAATTTTATAATAAGACTACTATAGAATAAAAAAAACAATTCAATACCATCTCTCTCACGTCTTCAGCAGTGACCTCTTCAATAGAGGTGCAAAGTTCTTTTAGTTCAGGAATTTTTCCCGTCTGCAAAAACTACCAAGCGGTTAGACATCAACACGTATAATAAACCAATTAAGTACGTAGCGGCCAAGTTCTTCAACAAGAATAGGCCTCATCTCTAAGTTCGAGAAAAAAAGACAGCGAAGTCTATTCTTGGCGCGCTGCAGTTCAACATTCCCAATGGGGTTGGTGATTATCCCTTCTAACTCGTGACGCATTATCTGACGGACTAAATAAAGCAGTCGAGAAAAAAAGCTAGAAGATAAAAGATACTTTAAAGAGTTTGGGGCCGTATGAATTTTTCCTGTCGGTATTTTTGTAGGAGCCGATCAAAGCAAACAAGTGAGCATCACTATAGCCCACGCCCATCGCTATTAACTGTATTATGGTCCTTGCAAAAGATAAAAGGAACATCAAGTACCGTTACACATTTCCACCCAGTTGTAGGAATTCAAGATATTGACGTAAACTCTTGATAAACCCGCAGGAAAAATAAAAATATAAATATAAAAGTGGTAAACACACATTATTACCTCGTGTACATGCCCTTTCCAGGCCCTCCCGCGGAAAACGAGCTCCCTCCGCCCAATAAGAATTGCAAGACGGCCATAGTAGTCGTCTCCTTCATGGTCAGTCGTCCTAAAAGTCACATGGAAAACGGCATACAAGTTAAAAAGAAGGTAAATCATACCATTGCTCTTGAATGAAAAGGCCACTCCCACATGCGTCAATGAGTTGTCTGTAGAAAGATGACAATGGCCTCCTAGAAATTTTATATGGGTTTATAATGCTTTTTTAATCATTTGTTGCACCTTACAACTCTAATGAAAAGACAAAACTAACCAAAAAATGGAGAAAAAAATTCTAAGTAAAAAAAATAGTAGAACTCCTCTAGCTACTATTTAAAAAAGTTTGCAATATAACAGAATACCCACAAATTTAGCGTAAGATTTCGAAAGTGGAAGCTTCAAAGGCAAGTCTGATAGCAGCAATACTACAGCCGGAAGCAATATAGAAACTATAAAATAAAACCTCGGAAGTAATACTGGCAGGCTTCAACTAAAAAGTTGTGCTGAACCCCAGCAGCCCCAATAACGATATTCGGAGCAGTAAAGTAGTCCCTGTGGAGACTAGCCAGTAGTTCAGGTGTAATCTTCTACAAAAAAAAACCAACAAAAAGTTTTATATAACTTTCAGTTAAATGCACGAGGCCTCAAAGAAATAAGAGATTAAAGAGGTACGCTGTGTTCTTCAACGTGAAGCATTCTTCCATACGTTTTATTACCAAATGCGGCTCGATGAAGAAGTTCTAAAACGTACTCGGCCTGTATAGTTAATAGAAAGAGAAATGTTATCCAGACAACTTGAATACTTTGTTAAGGTTTTCTTCCTTCCCGTATTCAATACTTTTTAGTTCTCGCTCGACGAAATCTGTAGTGAATTCTGGATTAGATAAAGAATCGCTAAGCACGTCCAACCTATACAAATAGATTACAAAATATATAAGTTCACAGAGAAATCAAAAAAAAAAGGGTAAAACGGACCACTGCGGAATGTCGTGCAGAGCGACAGTGCCCAAGCAAAAAAGGTTATCCCGACTACTCTGTAATAAACACAAAAATATAAGAAAAAATAGCTAAATAAAATAGTGGACCTTAAAATAAGGTATATAAAATTTATATAAATCTATTTTTTCTTCATTAAAAATACTCAAATAAATAATTTTTATAATATTTATAATATTTAAAGGTAAAAAAAAGCATATTATATATTGTAACACAGAAAGCTTACACTAGAATGCTCGCATATTTTAAAATTTATAAAAACCTGTACAGTAACGTTTTCTCCAATTTTTCTTATGTCTTCTTTCATTTTCTGCTTAGTCCTATGCTTTGTTTTCTAAATATAAAATTTAGATTATTTTTATAAAATTAAAAGTGGAAGAAAATACCCGAAAAAGACATCTTTCAAAGAACATGGGAGACCCACAAGAAATTTTATCTTTAATAAAAAAGCATAAAATATAGAACTTTAAAGCGCAAAAAATAATATACCAGTATCTCTTCCTCCAAACCCAACGGTTGCTCCAATTACGGCGGAATTACCAGGAGTATGTACAGTAAAGACTCGAAGGCCACTGTCAAGTGTAGTCGTACGGGTTTCCATAAACCTTGATGAATCAAAGCTAAAAAAAATAAGATTTAAACCTTATTTTAAGTATTAAAAAAACCATTAAACGTACTAGCAACTTTCTCCTACTATCATAGAGTCTTTAAAGCCTGGAAATGGCTTTGTCAAAGGAAATGAACTTGAAGCATGACGTTTAATGGCGTTTACTAGGGGAAAGAACATGTTTTGAATTAAACATTTAGATATCAAATTAAATACTCGTCCCATATTTAAAAGGAAACACCCTTCAAGAATTTTTTCATATAGTAGGTTTTTCAAAAACTTAACATAAAGTTTGGTGGAGCTGAAAGCCAAGCAGTTAATCAGTTAAGTGGAATGGGGTCATCATCAACACGTGACAATCTGTCTTTTGGGCTTTCATTAGTATAAAGGAGAATTTGCTGCTTCGCTTATTTATTAATAAAAATACCAGAGTTATGCAATGGATCTATTATATAGTTAAGTAAAAGGATACTAACTCTGGTTAAGTAAACTTTTTTAAAAGGGCATTATAATAAACGAGTAAACAGTAAAAATTCAAAAGTTTTTCTGAGTTTAAATTTTTTTTGAACGGTGAGCTTCATAGGATAGTAATAATATATTACGAATTTTAAAATAGACTAGAATTAACAGGGTCATTGCAATTTTAATAATCCGAATTTTCCACTAATTAAGTTGTGTCACAGGTTATTACCTCACTCTTTAGTATTTCTTATATTAGTAAAAATAGTAAATTCTCTTTGAGGTTGGAAGGTGATAACATCGGAAGTTTTCCGTCGTAAGGATACGTAAGGTTCTTTTGTTACATAGGTCACTCGTCAAGCTATAATATGCTAAACTCGTCCCATCGATAGGAGCACCGAAGTTAATCGAAACGATAATTATTTCTTCGGCTCGAGTTAGTAGTAACAGTCTCACGAATCCTAGGAATATAGCGCTAGTCTAGTGGACCTATTGGATACGCAGTTTTTACCAATTTTAGGAGTGTGTTTCCACAGGTAGTAATAAGCCTACTGACTGATCTTATATTCACAGTCCTTGAAAACTATAGAGAATTTATAAATATTTAAAAAAAAAAAAGAAAAAAAATAAGGATCAGGGTATTGGTAAATATACTTAAGCTATATTAGTTTTACTATTTTTGTTGATATTAGTTGTTTAAACAAAAAAGTCGACAAGCTTAAAATATAAAGTTATACTTAAGATTTATATTACATGATTAATGCCAACTCAACGGTTCCCAATAAAAATTCAACCAATTGGCGTTTAATCGGTCACAACATCTTAAATAATACGCAAACAAATTTAAATAGATTAAAGCTTGCGAAAAGACGGAAAGAAACATTTCCCATTTTCAAAAAACAAATGAGTGGTGGAAGTTATCTGACAACACAGCGTACTATATTTTAAAACCTGCTCATTAATAAGACAATACCGCCGCAAGGAAACATGACTGGCAAGGATACTCGAGATAGCCAACTGCTTAAAATTTATTGGCAGTCACAGTCGAAACCTGTTTTGAATTGCAGAAAACTAAAATTGTAAGAGTCAAATGAAAATCGATTTTGCAGCACAACCTAATTTTTTTTTGTTCCTTAACATTTCTGTAGTTTTTGTAACTTCCCAATATATCTCTAAAATCGACAAAGAAGAGACGGTGGGGAAGCTCTATGCTACTTAAAAAGAAACTTAAACACGTTTTTTAAATTCTACCTACTTTGCGTATAATGGAGTCAGTTTGGAGTCTCCCTCTGCTTAACCCGTCAAGTATTTCTTTTTGTGATTGCAACTCACAGCTCACCCAGTCGTTAAAGGCCTCAACCTAGCTCCTTAGTTGTTTGTGCCAAGGTCTAATCTACAAGTACCCCGCTCAAACAGTCATGTCGAGACTCATACGACTGAAATCTTGAAACTTAATTAGATGAAGGAGAACTATGAACCTTAGTAACCAACACACATGTCGAAGTTGGCACGTTAGACGTGTTAAAGTATTTCTTTTTTGTAAGGTTCTTTAATAGCTTTCGTCAGGCCACTTGCCATTCTTTGCTTAAAATGGGTGACAAAAATGTTCATCCCGTTCTTTACGGTCTAGGCGAAATTTGCCAAGCACATTGATTTGATCTTCTCCCAAATAAAATGACTAAATTTAGGTTATCGTGAAATCAGGGAAATCATTTTGAACTTTCAGTCAATGGTGTTGCCCGAATTTTGATTAAAATTAAGTAATTTTTTGTTTGTAGCTGTGTGGAGTGGGTATATTAATATCAAGTTATGTTTTATTGAAGTTGGAACAGGGGTTTACACGCTCATCCTGAGGACCAAATCGGAAAGGCTGTTCATGACCCTTGCGAAGGTCTTACATACTTCAAGTAATCATTTAACATTGGGTGCGCATGTGCCTTTATCTGGAATTTGCATTTATAACTTGATACCTATACCCACTCTAACAGCACAAATGAGAAAAAAACCAGATTGTGACAAGGATTTAAAAACTTCTTTTTAGTAAACAAGGATTAATATTTTTGGTTGCCTTTTTAGTAAAAACATATCAGTTTGTTTTTGCTGATGCTTTGTTATTTGAGAAATCTGCCAAATATATGTCAGTACTGATGAATCTGTCCTTCTGAATCTCGGATGTCAACCCTGAAGGCGCTGTGGTAATTACCTGACCAAATTGTCACACGAAGCTAGGCCCCCCCCTCACTACCTATCTAAAGCCATGACCTGCGAGTGCCGGACGCCTCGAAAAAAATTCAGCACTTATCCGAGAACACCGGCACTTTAGGTAAGAAACTATTGGCATAACACAGAACCATGTGAGAAAGCAGGCAAAGTCACATTTCAGATGTAGGAGTCATCATCCTCGTACCTTAATGGTAGTTAACAAGAAGGTACAATAATTATTTGCTTATAATTACCTTCCCCTCCCCTCTCTTCACAGTGATCTTTTGGTCAAAGAGACGTAGGTAAAACTAAACTTTTCGTCTACCTTAAAGCTACCCATTGGGTGTAACCTACGCACATCTTCTAAAGTCGAGCTTTTGGTAGATGCTGGGAGTCGTTTAACCTGACTTTTACCGTCGAGCTCCAGGGAGTACTCGAGCTCTCTTTAAAGGAAAGAAGGCATCCTACCCCCACGGCAATACTAACACAGTGCTAAAGCGGTCCCATTGGTGACGATGGATACAATTTACTGCCTCGTACACTCGACGATGAACGTAAGCACTTTTCCGTCGTAATAAAAAGGGTGACGATTTAACTAATACCAAAAGACGACCCATCAACCCTTGTTCTGCGGACGGCAAAGGAGATGAAACCGCTATAACGGCGACTTAAAAACCTTTGTTGGCTCTAGCGGTTCCTTGCTAGAGTGCCAGTTTGACTATTTCAGAGACACTCAAGAAAACAGTTTTCTTTTATTGAAAAGAGTTTGACCAAGTTAACAAAAGGATGGCTTATGCGACCTTGGTATTGTAGTATAATGCAAGTCAACACTAAAAAGGTAATACTGCATATTAGCCCTCCGATAATTAGTGGGAAACAGTAAGTTAATTGTAGTTACTTACGACAGCTTGCAATGGTGGGTGCAAAAGATAGTTTTTCCTCGGATGTCTTCCTCCTCGCTAAACTAGTTAATAATAAAAAAGTTTTGGATAAAGTTGGAAGTTTTACCTTAAGCTTACATCAGGCTAGTACAGTGGATCCCAAGCGGTTTAAATTTGAAAAGGTTATTAATTGAATATCAACTTGGTTTTTATATTAGAGCCGTAGATAAAAAAATAAGTTTGCCTCCATATTTAGTTAATTTCCTTTTATTTGAGTATCGTCTTATCAATAACCTTACTTAACTTTCAAGCAATTTACTTTTTATATATAACGGCAATAGATTCAGTTATATACGGTTACCCGTGTTACTTTCATATAAGGTTATCTCTCAATGGATAAATGAATACACTGCTCAATCGCATATGATACTTAGAGATTTTTCTTCTGATCTACGAACGGGCCAAATATTTCTTAAATTTTTACGTATTGTTCTTTTATATAGCAAATATCTCGCGCCAACGGTAATAGAGGTGGCTTTTAGATTTATTTTATTTTTAAGGTTACAATGATTTTATACAGGAAAAATTTTAGCCTTGACAATTATAAAAGTTTTCAAACTATGTTTTAGTTTTTCTGATAGCACTACTTTTTAAAATACTTTTTTTGTTTATTAAGTATATAAGACGGTTTTCGGCGCTAATGTGACTTGCACTGGAAACACTATTATATCCATAAATTTTACAAGAACATATATATCAATAAGAACAAGTTTTTAAAGTACAATATTTATAGAAATTTATGCGAGTGTGCCCATAGAATTCAACGAGGCATCTCAATCTGAAGCGAACTATACAAGAAACAATGAAATTCTGCTTGAGTACCTTAAGAGCGTGGAAGTTGTGCCGCCAGGCGAGCCATGGCTAGTAGAAGGTTAGTGAAATTTGATGCGGGAAACTATTTAAAAAAATGAGTTGCCCTCAAAGTTGTTTATAAAGATATTTGAAATTTATGGTACAATAATCCTTCTTGCCACTATTGTAACCTTAAGATATCTGTGCTGGGCACTGGGGGCCAATCTACGGAATTGCAGCGGCGTTAGCACACCACTTTCAGTGCCCCTTCGACTTGCCATCTTATTTTAGTGTCAACGTCGTAAAGAGAGAAGTAACACGTTTCTAGTATATTTCCACCTTCCTTATCGTTAAACCTTATTTTAGAAAATTGAAGGAGGGAGCATCATTCAAAAAACCACCCACCACGTTATTACTGAAGATGAGAGCCAGTACCATGAGTTGAACCGCATTCGTAGCGAACTGAGCAAACTCCCCTTGAAGGACATAAAAGAAGACGATATCTGGTGGTCCCTCACCGACGACGAAGGTAAGTTCTCGGCCCTTCTATTCGTAGTCGTGCTGTTCCTCATAATTATCAAAGGGTGAAAGCTTATAGGCTATAGATTATTAAATTATTCTTTCTAAAATCTTTTTAAACCTTGTACTGACTTCTAAATAATACTTGGTTTAACCAATAGTAAACTTTTACACTTTAAAAGTAAAGTTGTATAAAAAATTTCAGCGTAAAATAGGTTTAAAGTTATTTATTTTATTTACGTTCATCTTTCTCTTATGTTTGCAACAATAACTGTTAAGAACGCGAATATGAGACAGACGCATTAGACGTGGTGTTTGAGAAGAGTCAGGCCGAAGTAAATGCCATCAAATTAGTTTAGCCTTATTACTACCCAGCTTTTGTACTTAACTGTCAGTAGGCGAACCCTAGAAACTGTTGGCGTTCTGTAATGCTCACTTGGAGAAAATGGGCGTAAAGATCGACGATCTCTGCCGGGATTTACAGTACCCTTCGTGCTGTTGTAAGTCTGAATATTCTAAGGCGTTTGTTATTGTTCCTGAGAAACGGCGTCTATCTTCTCTACTTGGTTGCATTGCTTTCTGGCGTGTTTATCCCCTGGACAAACTACTTTCAGGAGCCAGAAGACTATTCTAACAAGGTTCCTGCGCTTATTGCTGCGGAGACTATAGAACCTTTACCCCTTGCGATAGCTTCACAACGTGCGCTATCTATTTAAGCTAATGGACCAGTTGGAGATCCCCCGAACCAACTGCCGCTCAACAGGTAACGTCGCTCTAATTAGTTTAAAGGCGAGTAGTTTATTTGTTTAAAAAGATATTGCAAAAGGCGATGAAAGGACAATAATAATACTTCTGTTAAAAATTTTTCAAAACTGCAAAGGAACATAGTATTAAAATGTCTGACTTGTTAAACGCCAATTTAAGTTTTCTATATTTGGCAAAACTAATCTACTTCACTAGTAACTCCTGCTCCATGTATTTAACGCTAATAAAAAACCCAGAGTGCAAATTTTTGAAGGAGAGACAGATGCTCGCACGTTTCGCTGGTCTCACTGAAAAAATTCAGTAGGTTATGAGTTATATAGAGTAGGCCGAACGTGAGCACAACCTCGGCCGTTGGACGGTCGTGAAATTATTTTGGTTTCTGACGAGAACTTGTGGGTTCTGTTTAATAAATGTAAGCGCGGCAATGCACAATAAGAAACCCCCACGCCTTACGCTTTTTATAAGGCATTCTCCCTTTAGACTTTTCGACGGCTCTGCGAACTCTCACACTTCTTATTTCATTGTAAAGCGGCAATTTTTTCATATAATCACTTATTTCTTTCTGGCTTTTCCGCTGTGTAAATTTTTGTATAAGAATTAAGATTCGAAGAAGCAATTATAGTTTTAAGCAGAAAAGCAAGCTCCTGATGTAAACTTCTAGGGGGCAGCGTACAAGGATAACGGCTTTTAGAACAGGACTCAGAAACTTATCGGTTTGCTCTTGTGTCCACGAAAACTTAGAACTTGCAAACTAAAAGCAGAAAAACAGTTTAGTGTAAACAGGCATGCAGACTTTTAAGGGGAAGCAGAAACCTGGCGTAAAGCTTCTCCCTTCGGTTCGTACCAATGGAATGCCGTATCGTCCCTATCGACTAAAGGATGAAGATAAGCATCCCGTGCATGCGCATCCGGGAAGTCCAGGGGCAGCACCAGCGGGTTTTTAAAGCCTCTCTTTCAGTCAAAAATAGTTATGAGATATAGCTAAAAAGATTCAGAGCCCATCGCCGTACCAGTCGTTTTAGCAGAGAAGACTCTTTTTTGTGTTCTCGGACGCCGCTTAATGCCTCCGCCTTAGCTTCCTCAAGCCAATTACGGAAGCTGATCAGGGTGTCTAAGAAAAGGTAATAAGAGGGGTGAGTATCGATGCACAGTAGTAACGAAGGGACCTTGATTTACGCCAAGTGATTTAAACTCACTCAGAATCTCGATGCTAGTCACCGGACCTGCGCGGAGATGATCAGCAAAGTGACAAAAAAATACAAGCGAGCACGTGCCTACTCCGTATATTCCTGGAGTGTAGTCGCTTCCGGAGAGAATGGCAATGTCAATCAAGTCTTTTCGGTTGATATGAAGTTGCTCTTCAATGTCTTTTACGCTTATAAGTATATTTATAAATAAATAACCAAAGCGACCAGGGGTATGAAACTAATCAGCGTAGTAACTAGAAGAGCATATAGTCAGAAATAGAAAGAACCTATATATTTCAGGATTGTGTTCTCTACTAAAAAAGTGACGAAACACGGTTTGACCTCCTACAAGTTTGACAAGTGGCGATCATTAGGTCGTCGCAGCTCATAAATTAGGAAGCTAACAGAAAACCAAACAAAAAGACGTCGCTATCTTCAGTGATAATACCGTCACAAACGCCAGCTGTGTTAAGGTATGCGCACTGCGCCTCCGCCTCGCCTGTAAGTATTAAGGAAGGTGAAGAGTTATAAATTGCTTGAGGAGATGAAGTTACTTGGTGAGTTGATCCATGGAACTCCAAAAAGACTACAAAGCTCCTAAGAAGAGCGATCAGTGAATCAAGTAACAAACCACCGATAGTCTAAATGTATGGCACTTTGGCGTCATTGATCATGTCTACTGTAAGGCTGCTGGAATCTCGTTCATGTTTATCCTTTTCATGCTTAAGCTCATCGTATTCGTTGCTCCATTTCATTTCTAAAAACGCAAAGTCCTATAAAGCAGAAGGGTTCGAAGTAGTCGGGAGAGCAAAAAATTCACGTGTGGCTGGACCTCAACGGTCAAAGTAGACGTTACGCCTGCTGCTGCCTCGTTATCGCTCAGACCCTCTAAACTAATAAATTTGAGGTCTCCTCAATACTATAACCAAGAGGGCAGTACCGTTGTCCTCTAGTAAACGGATCAAGTAATTATGCTCAAGGCTGCGCTTATCGTTTACAGTAGAAGAAGACTCTCTGCACTCTAGTGGCAAGCTCTCGCAGGTAGGAGGGGAAGGGCTCTGATCTTTTTCGTCAGCAGGAAAAACTGTTGTACAGGCAGCGCTTTGTTCTTCCAAAGAATCCCTCTGCGGTTTTGCCAAAGGCCGGACGGTTGAAGAGGTATCCAATCGAGAAGCAGTAAATGAAGAAGAGCCATCCTCACATTTCTATATGGACAAAATATAAATATCATCAAATAAAGAAATCCCTAAAGCACACCACGTTAGGATCATAGAAGTTGCCCACCAAACTGTTTCTAGTATCACTTTCGATACTTTGAAGATTGGCAATGACTGCCGCAGGTTTCCCCTCTATCGATATGGTGATCTCAAGAGACCCCTTCTCTATATAATCAGAAAGTTTGCTTGAATTCCGTAAGGTTTCCGCAGGAGGTGGCGGGCTCCTACTGCGTTGTAAAACTTCATCTTCTTCACCAGATGAGGAGGATGAAAAACTTTTATTAAAACTGGAGGATTCTAAAATAAACAAATAAACATGAAAACAAACTTAGTAACTAAAATTGTAAAAGTAAAGGTTATCGCGCCGCACAACGCGTTTTTATACAAAAATAGATATGAAGGGGGTAACATACCGGTATCTTCTGAAAAAGCGTCTCTTTCAAGTACGGGGCTGCCAGGTCTAGCGGTGCGCACCGGAAAAATAAGAGCGGGAAATTCTTATAAAAAAAATAATGACGTTGTGCTCTCCTCCAAGATGACCTCCTCACTTTCGCTTTCACTTTCACTAGACTTGTACTGGTACATGAGCGCCTCTTCACCAGCCACATGCAAGAATCCCCCTGTCCGGAAGGTAGAGAACAAATCAATTAGTTTTTTTTCCTAGCGTACTAGCGTCGCTAATCAATATTTTGACGGATCATTATCAGTATAACTTGAAAATAGCGTGGTAAAAAGGCGTATAAACATATTAGTGTTACCAGAGTCTTGCATCTTCGCACGAACGTAATCTATCTTCCGAGAAATCTCATTTTTCTTTAACAAACGTTGAAGTTGCATTTGCGAGAAATCTAATGGGCTTTAAGGACTGTTAACTACAACATAAACGATTTATAACAATTAACTTCTCAGATCTTTCCTAACTTACGAAGGCTTTAGATTTTTAACAGTTTCAGGGTTAGCATAACGTGTCCAGCGTTTCTGGCGCTCTTGAATCTCCATCAACACCTTAAAAAAAAATAATAACACTAGTGATGAAGCGTGCTTAACAATTATACCTCGTGCTGTTCTTCATAGGTAAGATTATCGAATTCCACGGAATCAAAGTCCGTGTTCTAAAAAAAAATTAAATTAGTTAAACAGATAGCAGTAGGATTATCTCCCTACGTTAGAAGAGTTGCTTTCAATAAAACGCATAAACTTTTCTGGTAACTTATAATTTTTAAACTCATCTCGATAAAGACGTTTTTCACGGCCACTGAGCAAACTAATTCGAGTATCAGCTTCAGAAAGATCACTATCAAATCCATCATTCCTGTAGCTATGATTTATCTGAATATCTTGTTTAGAATTATCAGGAATCATAAAAAGATCATGGTCGTTGCTGCTTTTGTAAAATTTATTTATATCTCTATGTAAAAATATAGATTCAGTATATTTTAAACTATAATATGACAAAACTAAAAACATATTTCCGCCGGTAACTTGAGCCAGGGCGTAAGAACGAAGCTGATTCCGGAATAACCGTTCAGCCGTCTGTTGATTAGCAGTATTATACAACTGAAGAAAACAGAAAAACGTATTATTAACCTTTCGCAAATTTTCTTCGCTTCTTTCTCTAAAAAGTTTCCTGGATTCCTATGAGTAAAAAAATATATTGAATAAGTCCTATGCTATTACGTAAGACTAATATACAAGTATTTTTCTCTTAATAGCAGGTGGAGGGCCATCAAATACCATTATGGGCCTATAAATAACATCACAAAAAATTCTATTAAGCTTTTTTGAGCATAAAAAACTTTATATTATGGTAGATTAGAATGCAGAAGCGACGAAATAGCCCGAGCAAGTGAGCATTTCTAATCAGTTCACCTTCTTCATCTCTTAGAGCTTTTATATATTGGTAAAGCCAGCTGCTTATATCTATACAAAGCAGTAGCTACGGTTATTAAGTACAGCAAACACAAGATTAAAACATACCGACAGCTAAGGTACAACCAGATAACTTATTTATATTTATAGGTCTACTACAAGGTTCTAATAACTTCCAAAGGCCCGGTACGCCCATACAACAGGTTGCGGTTGTATATTTTTGCAAGCGCAGCACTAAAAGATGAATACCACCTTTGCCCGCTTCAGCCCAACAATCCTGTCCAGGCATTATAACCCTAAAAACCAGCGGCCCCGTTTACTTTAACGATGACTACAATCCAACAAGATTATTAGTATGCTGTGTTTTCGTATAGCCCTACAGTACCGCTACACACAAGGGTGCTTATCTATTTAGAGGTTGTTTAATCTATTTCTTAAATTATAAAGCTGCTCCAAAATACAGTTAAACCTCTTTTGAACTATAATTTCTTTCATTTCTGCTGCTATTTTATTCTTGTGTATCTGTTAAGTTATAAGAGTTAATTATTTTTGCCTTACTGTATACACTTGATTAAAATTGTTATAATGTTTTTCAATTTTTCATTTTTTCATTTAACAGAAATTTTTTTTTAATCATAATGGATTATACAAAGTAACCTTCTATGCACTAGCTACGCTAAATTTTTAAATAGTTTAATGCAAAAAAAAATTGAGCTCTTATTAAGTTGAGAAATTATGGGAACAATTTTGCACGTAAAAAAAATTTAATTTAATAAACAAGGTTTCAATAATTAGTATAGCTCCCTTTTGTCAGAGTTATTGCTTGTAACCTCTGACATACTGGCAACCAGGTTGTAGTACTGACCCGATGTTAAATTTTCCCGTTCTGTTTGTACACAAGTCCAAAGCTCGTCTAAGTTAGCAGGAGTCGATTCGTATGATGCCAATTCCCTCTTAATATTCCTCATGTATATGCTTAACAAAATAATTATCAGGAAATTGCAAAGACCATGATCGCACCAATAGTGCAGTGTGATATGGGTGTTATATCAAAGTAGTGTATATTTAAAAGATATATTAGATATAAATATAGGAGTTAAAAAGTATGTATTATATTTTGTCTGTAATTAAGTAAAATAATCTGGTGTATAAAATAAAATATATAAAATACAAGATTTAAAAATTGTTAAAACAAGGAAAGCTTTATTGACCGGTTTTCGGTCTATAATTATACCTTTACAAAAGACCAAAAGTGCTTACATATCTCGTATTATATAATAATTTTGTAGTATTAGATTAGTTTTGATAAAATTTTTTTTGTTTAGTTTGTATAATTATTAAAACCTTGTTTATAAAATTAATTTTTTTGAAGTGTAAAATTGCTTTCATAATCTCTCAACTTTATGAGCACAATTTTTTTTTGAATTAAATCAATTTAAAATTGTTATATCAATATGTAGCTGGAACATAGAATATAGGGGCTAGATTTGATGCTTAAACAGTTAAAGGTTTGCGTTTAGGCATTAACTATGCTTAAAATAGAAATCGTTATAAGGCGACTATCTAATTTAACTCAATACCTTTACTAAACTATTGCCCCTAAAATCTTATATGTTAACGACTCGTAAGTTATATGATAATTAAATCAGAAAGTGTTTAAAAATGTAAAATTTAGAATTTTTAATCTGTTATTATAAAATGTCATACTCTTTTCTTAATATAATTGGTTTTGTAGATTAATAGACTTAGTTACAGTGTAGATTGCGGACTTTATTAATGGTTATAGCCCTACAGAAAAGCAGTCGTCCCCTAAACGGCCAGTTTGTCTTTACTCATAACCTGAATCTTGGCAATCTATTCAACCTAGACCTTTTAGTTATAACTTGCGCGAGATTGAAAAAGTAACCCAACAGAAGTTTTGTGCCTAGTGTCTTGGTATTTGCGTTAAAACAAGAAACTCAAAATGTTTAGAATTTTCCCTTTTAGCGAAAACTTTTTTTACTGCTTTTAAATTGTATTTTTATCTATAATAAATTATGGCACGCAATTTAAAAAGCTAAGGAAGATTCTGGGCAAAATAGAATCTATAATTTAGGTTTGTTTATGGGCAAGTTAAACTTTCTATTCCTCTGCAGATGAGGGGGTGTAAACAACGTAGTAAGTCGATATTATAACCCTGCGAACCAAGTCTAAATGTCAACGATTTTCCTAAAGACAATTTCATTTCTCCGCGCAATTTTTGCATTTAAAATGAGATAGTCAACTGAGGCCCACACCATACCCTTTAGGGCCTCAAAATTGCATTGTTTTTTCTAAAAAAACCGTATTTTTCTGTGCAAAAAATTTTAAGATTTATAGAGGATGCAGTAAAAATAACTTTTCCTGCGTAAGACAAGTAATAGAGTAGAATACTAAACTCCGACGTGAATCACTCTGACTAAAGGGTTCTTACAGCGAAGCTTAGTTTGTAAAGGTGTAAAAACCCACATTTTAATAAGAATATAATGTAATAATATGGATAGGCTCTGTGGTTATATAGGAGACAAATCCTCCAAAACTTAATTCGTTATCAAATAATATTTGGTCTAATTTCGCTAAAATCAAATTTTTAATAAGTTTATGGGCAAATCCATGAAAAGATTAGATAGCCGATATACTATACTTAATTTACCAAGGCCTTGAGAAAAGTGCCTGAATCACTAATGATCACTAAAGAACCTCGTTAATAGTGAGTTTTCCCCGACCGCAAAGAGCTCCGAAAGAGGGGACTATAGTTTGATCACAGAAAAATTACCGAAAAGATTTGTACGAAAACGTATGCTATTTTTTTACATTTTCTTTATAAAGTTTACTTTTCATTTGCTAGAGAAAGAGGAACGATCACTTTTACCAACTAATTTTCAATTTAAACTACTAACCAGTGCCAGCTTTGTTGATGCACCCGTAGCAAGATAAAACAATTTTAAGTTATGTTATTTAAACAGGAACATATTTTTAAAAGAACCAAACGAGTTTGAATTAAATTATTATCTGAAAAGAAAACAACCTTTTCCATTGATGAGCGTCAGGCGTCATAAAATTACTGGGTTATTTGATTGAACTATGCGGGAATACTAATACATCATAGTATTTAATATAGTCTGCACTCACTCTACACTCATTTTCGAAAATATTGAGTTAATAATTAAACCCAAGTGCTTAATTATCACATTCTTTACTCAAATCAACTGTTGCCTAACGAAGATGAAAGTATGTTTTTCAATTTCTTTGGCCACAGGGCATAGATTTAAATAACTATAGTGGTTTACGTCTAGCTTACAATGTGTGGGAGTTACCCAAGATTGTGTCACATAGTTTTTATATATGTAAATACGAAACCTTGATAATGTATAATAATAAACTACCTTAAACTGCCAAGTTAAAATATAAAATAAATTTGTAATAAAAGAAATTATATCTAAATGATCATTGAGAAATCAGTTTATTTTTCAGCTATCTGCCGTTAATCCATATACGGTCATCTTTTTAAGTTAAAAGCGACCTTCCAAGTGGTTTACTAATTTATTAAAAATTTTGGATTGGTCCTTATATCAAAAATAGCCTTTCAAATCTCAGCTCTATTCTTACTAAGTTAAGCTACAAGATTTCATTTATAAAGCAAAATAACAAGTGCAGTAGTTGCTAAATTAATTATATATATATATATATATATCATAGTTAGTATAAATAGGAAAAGGTAAAATCTTAAACAAAAATTATAAATTATCCGGTTTTATATTGGAGCAAATCAAGTTCCTCATAGTTTGAAGAGCTAGGAGTGCAAAGGAGTAAAAATTACACAACTATTATCTAATCTAAAGTTATTTTGTATTTTTTAATTATGAAGTATATCTATATTTATATATATGATAAAAATTTTTAATTATGAAGTCTACCTATATTTATAAATATGATAAAAACTCAACTTATATATATTGCTGCTAAGAAAATTTATTTAGAAGTTATTACACGACAATTGGTTCAACTCTAAGCATGAATTAATGCGTTCGGTCTTGTCTCGCTGAGCTTACTGTCCACGGTGTTAACAATCTATAAAGCTCTAATACTTGTTTTTTTCTTGCTAAAATTTAGCATATATATACCACTTACGTTGCTTTTACAGCTTCAGTCAAATGTGTGGGTGCCTTAAACTTTTTCTTCCCCTTTTAGCGACTTCTTTTTAATAATGTATTTTCAAAAAATTCTTTGTACTTACGCAAAGTTTATTTGCCGACACGCACCTGAAGTTATTCTTATATCTATTGTTCTATTTTTGTTGTCTGCCCTTCAGTTTTTGGACTTGTCTCAGTACCAAAACCTTCCCACCTTCAAGCGCCTACTTACCCCGGGGATCTTAGTAAATGATACTGACTTAGGTAAGTAGATTTTTGGTTAGTTAGTTATTTTATATTAAAGTTGTGGCTACAATATGTAATAACAGAGCCTCCACGTTATTCAATTCACTACGCAGAAATTTTTGTAAACGCTTCACTAAGTGGAAAGATTGATAAAGAAGTTATATTAAAATTAATTGATCTTCATTCCAATTTGGAATCTATTAAAGTTAAAGGCGAATTCGGAAATCTTATTTCATTAAAGGATATCTGTTATAAAGGGCCGCAATATTCGTCTTTAGGTTTTAACTTCACTCACACATTCACTGCACCCTTAAAAAAAAAAACCTCATTCATTGCCCCGATTGACTTTAGAAACACACGCCCAGTCGTATATATATGAAGATAGTGCATCTCTTCCCAATATTCCTTGCCTTGCCTATTCTCTAGCTGGATATTGGAATATGGAAAAGGCAACAGTTATCAACGATCGGAGTTTTGAAAAAACTTTTTCTAGGCCCTTTATGTTTACCTCTCGGCAACTTAACATAAGCAAAGATGCTGTCTATTTCTATGATCCACATACCTCTACTATAAAATTAATCATGACTTATTTTATTCCTGAAAAGTATTCTTACGTTTGGAAACAGGCTTGGATTACGGTTTTGTCTGGTAACCTTTTTATTTTTCATTTTTTATTTTAGCCTTCATGTGTTTGTAGGAACTGCGTGGATCGCTAAGTACGACAAAGGTCGCGGTAATTTGGTAAATAAAGTTTTGTATTGGCAAGAACAACGTACTCAGAGCCCTCAAGTTTTTATTTTGATTCTTTCAAATATTCTTCCGATTTATTACGCTTACTCCTCCTTTGTCAAATTTAGGAAATTGGGCTCAAAACATTCGCTGGGTGAGCATTTATAGTTGTGTGATTACTTTTCTCGAAGTCTTGTTTTGCTTAAGTTGTTTCTCGATTGGTAACCTTTTAAGGAGTTTAGAGTATTTAGTGGTTCTTGTTCTTTTTTTGGCACACTTGCACTACTTAATAACCTTGGACGGGGGCGACAGGTTAAGCTCGAAGTAAATAGCACGCGTGCCTCTTCTATCATAATAAATATCAATATGCTTATAACTCTTACTGAAGAAATTGTATATTTTGAACAGGTTCCGCTAGTGTCTTCATCATCTTTTTCAGTTTCCTAGCTGCCGTGGGCATCTTCCACCTTTTCCAGTTTCCGTTGACTCTCGTGGTTAGCGAGGTCATACCTTTTTTATTTGTGGTGATGGGCATGGAGAACTACATCCACTTGGCAAGGCTCGCCACGACTAGTTTGCTTCAGGAATTCCAAAGAAATTTTTCTAAGCAATCGTGTAGTCGTTTAAACCGTTTAGGCGAGATCCGCATCTTTAACTCCATTGCAAAAAGTTATGCAGCCTGTTTTACATCTGTGATGGTAGATGGCGTGCTCAAAACGGTAGGCATTGTGCTTATTCAAGGTATTTCCTATTTTTCTTTTTGTGTTGTTTTCGCGTGCTCCACTACTCGTCTATTCTTGTTCTTGGCAACAAGCGTTAGGGCTTTATGATATGGGAACCTCCTGTCTGCTTGCCTGCGTCTCGCTCCTCATCAGTCACGTGCTGTTTAACACCTTTTTCTTGGCTGTTCTTGCCTTGAAGTTGGAAAACATGAGACTCATGCTCTACTGTTGGCTTACGAAAAGTTTTTTCAGCCACTCTACCTCTTCCCTCGAGCCAGCCGACTCCCTTTTACCCAATCATGCGGACGCCATAGACAACTTAGAGACTGAGTCTATAGTTTCTAGTAAAGGAAAACTTATTGCTATTTTTCTGGGCATATTCATCTGCTACACTATGTTTAATTCTGCCATCCACCAGGACGACTCGCCAGCCCTTGGGCTTCCGCTGAGGTAGTTGACTCGACTTTATATTCGCGGTAATCGCCGTTCCAGTCACGCACTCTTGTTTAGTGATCTTCGGAAATATTATGAGGAGCAACTTTTTGGCGACGTTGTCCTTTCCTTCTTTGAGCCTGCCATTTCAATTCTAATGTGTTCCTCTCCTTTGAAGCACTGCCCTCAGCGCTCCCGCTCTCTTTTCACTATCCAGGCCCTTTTAGTCAACTTTATGCCTTTCGATGTGTCCAACCTTCTTACCTACATACCACGTGGTTAATAAGTTGCTTGCACTCTTTTGGGGTCACTTACTGGCTATTACCTAGTTATTCTTCTTCTCGACACCGAGGCATTGATGGTCTTGATTCTGTTCGGCCTCGTACTTTTCGCATGTTTCAAGTACATCTTTCTCGACAAGAGCTGCGGATTCCTCGAGCAGCTCACCACACAGCTTAAAAACTCCCCTTCTACTAAAGAGTTCAGCGAATCAAAGCTACCCGCCACCGTAGATTTGCCTGTAAATACAAAGCCCCAGGAGAGCACTGACGCTATATGCAGTTTTCCGTTGTGCAAGTTTGTGATTGGGACGGACAGCCCTGTCGATAGCGCCCGTTCGAGTTTATACGACCTTCCCGTTCTTGCGCAGGCTTCCAGTACTGGCGGTTTATATCCGTCTTCTTGGCCGCGTTTCGCCGTATTACCATTTATGGACTGGTAGATTCAGGTATTGATGAAGAGGACTCCACTGAGGCAGGAGCTTCCCGACCTCTTTCTGAAGTCTGGGCGCTATTTAACAAGTACGGGGCTTCTTCTCTTTCCGATAGGGAGATTCTTCTGCTCGTGAAAGAAAGTAAACTTCCTGCGTATAAGCTGGAGAAAGTCTGTGATGGTTTGTTATTAATAAGTTTTTTAATGATTCTGGGAGTATTAAGGCTTCTTTGGCTTAGACGCTCTTCGTGGCATCAAAATACGACGAAATCTAGTGAGGGAGTTTAGTCGAATAAGCGGGACCTTGGACGGCGTGCCTTTCTTAAATATGGATTATAAGGCGCTTTTTCTACGTGATTCCGTTTGCGCCTCTTACAAGCTCTACTATCCACTACAGAATGTTCTTGGGGTCTGCTGCGAAAATATTATAGGATACATTCCCGTCCCTGTGGGCGTAGTGGGGCCATTAACCCTTAACGGTTCGGACATCTATGTGCCCATGTCTACCACAGAAGGTTTCCATCGTGCCGCTCTATGCATATGCATTCGCTGTAGCTTGGTGACAGGTTGTTTGTTGGCCAGCACGCACAGGGGTTGCAAAGCAGTGAAGCTTTCCGGAGGCGTCACCAGGTTTTCGTAGCTTCTCTTTGAGTTCGCGATGGCCTTACAGTTAACATTTAGCGTCTTATTAAAAAACGGAATGACTCGTGCGCCCGTTGTCAAGTTTTCCTGCGTTACGAAATGTTTGGAACTTATAGGTTACCCTCTGGTATCGCCATGTGTATAGTCTGCTTAATGCTCTGCTTTTTTATTCAGAGTGGCTTCGTATTAGGGAAAACTATGAGTCCGTCAAGTCAGTCTTTGAGTCCACCAGTCGGTTTGCTAAACTGCTTAGACTTTCCCCTCACATGACTGGTAACGAGCCCTTTTTAGTACAAGGAAGGTTACCTGACTTAGCCTGTCCTCTAGGCCGCATGGTGTATCTAAGATTCCGCGTATTTACGGGTGACGCCATGGGCATGAACATGATTTCCAAAGGCACGGAGAAGGCTTTGGAGCATCTTCAAAATCTGTTTCCGGATATGCGGATCATCTCCCTCAGCGGAAACTTTTGCACTGATAAGAAGCCCGCCGCTGTGAACTGGTTCGCTTTTGCTTGGCTCGCTTTTAAAAACTTCCTACGGCCGACTTCTTTAAGGATACAGGGACGTGGAAAGTCGGTCGTTTCGGAGGCTATTATCAAGAAAGACGTTGTGGAAAACCTTCTAAAAACAACAGTAGCTGCTTTAGTCGAGTTGAATACTTCTAAGAACTTGATTGGATCCGCCATTGCTGGTAGAAAACTTCAGCAATGGCCTTTTCAGTTTCTGTATTGTCTTTTAAACAGGCTCTCTAGGCGGCTTTAACGCCCACGCTGCTAACATTGTCACGGCGATCTTCATTGCTACTGGCCAGGACCCCGCGCAAAATGTCGAATCGTCCAATTGCCTCACCTTCCTCGAGGCGCAGGGCGATGACCTATACATATCCTGTACCATGCCGTCCGTCGAGGTCGGTACTGTCGGTGGTGGCACTCAGGTTTCTCCTCTCGACTGGTATTATTTCCTATTTTTTAGTAACCTTCTTTTCCAGTTGCCTGCTCAAGCATCGTGTTTGTCTCTGCTGGGCGTGGAGGGGCCTTGCAAGGACCACCCTGGTGAACACGCCGCCAAGCTAGCCCTCGTCGTCGGTGGTGCCGTCCTTGCTGGCGAGCTATCGCTGCTATCTGCCCTTGCATCTGGCCATCTTGTTCAAAGCCACATGACCCATAACCGCTCTTCGCAAAACCTTGCGGGGACCTCTGCCGGGCCGGTTTAATATATTTTGCTTTGTACGACTGGCGTTTATGTGATCCTCTTCTACTAAACAGGGGACGACTAGCTCATGTTAGTCCACTTCCGCCCGTCCTTAATTTTATGGCTGTTCTCCGCTTTCGTTGCACTTCTGTCTACGCGCTTCAGTGTTTACTTCTATGAGACTGTTAAGGCTTGTAAGGCTTTTAAATAAACTGGCATTGTGCCGCCTCAATACTGGCATCCCCTTTCCGGTTGGCTCCCTTCCACCAAGTTCTTGCTTAGTGAAAAATATAAAATGAGTTACGTTATGTAACAGCGAAGCCATTTTATTATAGCAGGTGATAATCTCGACTATGTTTAATGCGTGCGTAGTTCTACAAATCTTTAGGAGGGCAGTAGAATATTTTTCTAGTTTTCAGTACTGCCCATCTATGCTGCTTAAGGTAAAAGGCGATCCCGAATGCGGTAATCAGGATGATCATTGCTCGCAATCCCATTCGCTTCCGTTCGTCGTGTTCCGGTTTCGATGTAAAGCACAAAAACGACACCACGTCTTTTGCCATCTGACTCGTGGTGGCTGGCGTGCCTACGCCAATAGTTTAGAAATGATAAGTGAAGCTCTTATAAAAGCTGGCGTGCGGCATACCGTCGTCGTATTCGACAGCCCCATCATATAAAGGCCTGTCCATAGAAATCAACCCTCCTATCGTCAGCAGCCAATGGTAAGGAAGTGGCAGAAAGAACAACGAGCAACACTACCAGGAAAGTAAGGATTGAAGTGAAGCCCCTCGCGTACTTCGAGGCCAGCGGGGGGGTCCATGTATCCGGTGAGCAGAGAGAATATGTAGTTCTACAAACAACCGATCAGCGGAAAGAGGAGAATCACAGTAACACGTTGCCATGCTACTCTGCAGAGCCCTCATACTAACTATCCAAGCGGCGGACACGCAGAGTATGCACGTGTCGTAAATAGTATTAGCTTTGTTCGAAAGAGTAACTAACATGCATTGGCTATAAAAGCCAGTGTACAATACAATAGTATAAAAAAGACAGTGTGGTAGTGAAACAATATTTTTATGAATACGGACAAAAGTTTTTATCCTTAAAACTAGTATACAAGAACTTATTTTAACTAAACCTGCAATCAAGAAATTAAAAACTTTAAACTCAATTAAATCTAAAACCAAAAACAATTTTATAAATACAACTGCAAAGTACCGTTCACTTGTGATAGAAAAGATTTAAACACAAAGAGGGATCAGGCATACAACAGATTTACTTACAAACAAAAAGGAACTTGAGAATTTTAAAAAGTAAACTGTAATAACTACAAAGTTTAAAAATAGTAAAGTCACAGTTGAAGTAAAGAACTCACAAAGATAAGCGCATTTGTTATTATTAAAAAAACAACCTCTCCGTCGTGCCTTCCTCGGACCATCAGACTAAGATCGGGAGGATAAGCACCGCCATTGGCTGCTTTAGCAGCCTCTTTGTTAGGATAAGGCGAAGGAAAGTAATCGGTGAGCTGGTAGAGAAGTAATAAATGTTAGGTACCAAAAGTTATGCAAAAGTGAAAAAAATAATTTTTTCAAAACCACTTTATAAGGCGGCTAATTCAAGTAGATGTAATAACAAAATAATTGGCAACTACACTAAAGAACAGAAACAATTAGGAACACCAGTTCACAAAACGGATCTGATGGTTAAGAAACTGCTAAAGAGTAGACAGTTATCAAAGAAGGTAAATTAACTTTAAAATTTACATAAAAACGTTATAAATTGAAAATTTTAAGAACAAGAGTATGGATATAAATATTAATAATAATATGTAAAAATAAAAAATATAACTTGAATAATAACACTAGAAAATAAAACAAATTCTTTATAATGGATCGATTGGCCTCTTTATCAAAACTTCGATTTTAATACTTGTATAGGTTTAAACTTGGGGTAAATTTATAATCTGTAAAGTAGGCTCTCCATGCTGTTTTAAATTTTGAGTAATAATTCAAAAACGAGAATGTATAATCTTTAAAGGCGCGTTAATATATAAACAGGACAAAAACGATATGAGAACTTAAAAGTAAGTAAATAGAAGAAAATACTTTTCCTGGGCGAGTAAACATTTCTCCTTTATCGTTTGGGCCGTCTTCGATCTAAAAAAAAGTTAAGTAATTTTCATAATAAATACAACCGTCAAAAAGTAATAATTTATTGTTTATAAGACGTAACAATAACTTTTATATTTGAAAATAAAAATTTTATTTTTAGTTTGGTGAGTAAACGTAGAGGAATTGGTTTTACAAATACAACAAAAAATTAGCAAATAGTTTCTCTCTGCAACCCCTCAGAGAAACTAAAGATCGAGTATGTTTTACGGATAGCTGAACAAACACACCAACCACCACTTCTTCAGATAAGATCTTCTAGACCCCTCTATAAATAATACGAGCATCCCCAGCAAAATAAGAAGTTGCATTATCAAAAAGGAATAGCATTATTTTAAAGCTTCTCTGCTTTTGCTTATAAAGTAAAAACTACTGTTTCTTAAAGGTAAAAAGCAGTAAACAGTAAAAAGGAGATACCTCATAATCTTCGGCAATGGCCTTCATCTCCTTTTCAGTATGTGTAACATTTACCAGATGGCGAAAAGCCACACGTTGTAAAGAATGACATGACGAACACACTTCACGATAAACTTGGAAGCCACGCCTCAAAGAAGCATGATGGAACGTGCTTAAATAACCTTAACAAATTTATAATATATAACCTTTTTAATGTAAAGAGCTAATACAGCATAAGTGTTAAAACCTTTAAAGTCCCAAGGATAAGAAGGGGGGTGTAAACCTGCATCACTAGCCATCACTATACCTGCAGTGGCCCCACTGATCCCAAAAGCTAATCCGATACTTTTTAAAGTAAAAATCTTAAAAAGTTAAGAGTACAGCTATAATGTTGTCAACAAAAATAAATGTTATTAATATACTTTTTTTCTCAAGCGAGTAATCATCACCACTGTTTAGCTCAAAAAAATAAGAATATAATTAAATGGTGAAAGACAGTCTCGCTACAGTAAACTAGGAATTGTATATCGCGAAAAGCTGGGAGGTAAAAGTATGGCGGATATAAAGCGATTTTAGTCCCTTTCCTGCCCTCTAACTATTTTTACCGGCAAAGACAAACAAGTGAGGGCAGCATTAGAAGCAGAATTTATACAATAAATGGTAGTTAACAACAACTTTTATTCTTTGCGCATAATCAAAAAGCATGCAATAATTTCTTCTATACCATTTACAAGCACGAGGAAATATATTTTATTATTAACTAGAATTTTTGTTTGTATGTTCATCTCTTAAACTAAGTCGTGGTTGACGAGTACATGTGCTTCGCCTAATACTGTTGGCAGCGTCAAGTTGTGAAAAGGTTAATAAAACTACACTCAGTTTGCTCCGGAAAGGGAATGCCCAAAGACGAAGAGGGGCGGGATACAGAAAGCTTACAAGAAGAACAAGGAAATCAGGATGGAAGCAATAATCAAAATAACGCCGCTGGGAAACCTTGTTCTCGAAAACTGGGCTTGCACTCTCAACCTAATAACTGTAGAGATAATAAGGAATTACACGCTAAGAACACAGGTTTTTTTTTTCGATTTTAAGTTAAAGATTTTTTTAAAAGAACGAATTAACTAGATATTTGTCGGTTATTGTAACTTTTACTTATTTTATTTTGAACTCACTTTACTGTTCAGTCTCTATACGAAGAAATATTAAGAAGGTTAGAACCCTCATTCCTGAAGACATCACTACTAATGAAGCCTTAATCCAAGCAGTAAATACTGTAAGCTTTTTGAGTTTCCAAAAGTATAAGTATTTTTAGGGAAACACATTTTTTGTACTACGTTAGTTACCCTCCAATTACAACTTTGAAATCTTTAAATCTATATGGAGACTTCGAAAGTGTAACTCTAAGCGAGGTTTTTTTTTATAAATACTGAGTAGTCTTTCTCGTATACAAATGTTGACTATAACGCGAAGAGGATATTTAATACGGAATTATAGTATCTTTTTTTTCACGTTTAACTCGTGTTTTTGCTTTTTGAACACTAGTGGCACTTCAGTTCCCTGAGGGACTACTTATGTATGCCTGCACCATCGCTGACATCCTTGAACAGTTTGGATCTATTTTTATTTCCTTTTCCCTTTTTTGTTCTTTTATTAGTTACAGTGCTTATCATAGTTTAACGACTAAAGCTTTATATACTCGTGAAATAGCCCACTGCATAGATTAGTGTACTAAAAGTTGTCTTTATAAATGCGGATTTTGAAATAAATATCTAATCGAGTTTCTAAAGACGTCACCCTCGTTAGTTGTACGTTTAATGTATTGCGGAGAATAAACGAAATAATTTTTATATTTTGTGTATATGTAGTGAGGGGTTAACCGCTTTCCTTGTACTTTAAAAATGAGTTATTTGCCTTACCTCCAGACTTCTCTCCCTCCATTCCTTTTTTGTTTAATAATTTGAATTATTTCTAAAAAAAACTTTTATATTTCTATTTTTTTCCTTCCTACTAATAAACAATATAATGTTTATATATATTAAGATTTACTCCTGTAGAAGTTGTTGTGATGGGCGACGTTGTTTATGGGTAACTATCTTTATTATAGTTTATATTTACTATTTTATAAGTGGAAAGTTTTTTTAGTTATTGGGTAGATCTTGTTAAATGGATTATATTATTGTGCAAAAGTACTTTTGCTTTATACTTTTTAATATATGTATAGTGCGTGCTGCGTGGATGACTATTCTGCGAGGGCTATGGGATGTGACTTTTTAATTCATTACGGTCACAGCTGCCTTGTCCCGATCGACACGGCCCGGTTGAACATGCTCTATGTGTTTGTCAGTATAGGTCCTTCTCCGTGTGAGTTGCCCGTAGTACTGTCTCAATTAATTGTCTTAAGATATTGATGTTAAACACTTTATTGAAACTCTTCAATTCAACTTTAAACCAAACACAAAACTTGCGTTAGTGAGTACTGTGCAGTTTGCGGCCGCCCTTCAGGTTCCGCGATAAATCTGGTATTACTCGTAATGTCCATCCATTGGGTCGTTAGGCCGCCTCTGAGGTCCTGAGCGAGACTTTTGATCTATCCCTTCCTCAAGTAAAACCACTTTCTCCTGGGGAGATATTAGGCTGCACATCCCCACGGTTGTCCACTTGCGAAGCCATCGTTTACCTTGGAGACGGACGTTTTCATTTGGAATCTATTATGATACACAATCCAGAAATTACAGCTTACAGGTAAACCCAAACTGGCAACATCAGACTATTACTATTGCCCACTTTGGAAATCTTTGGAATTCATCCCTTTATTTACCGCCTTGGTGGTGCAGATACGACCCATACTGTAAAATATTTAGTGTGGAAGGCTACGATATCGAAGCAATGAAGAGCTGTAGAGAAAAGGCAATTAGCACGGCACGTGGGGCTTCCAGGTTTGCTTTGGAGCAAAATCCGTAGTATTGTTCTTATTATGTCATAGTTTTGGCCTCATAATGGGAACGTTGGGACATCAGGGCAGCATTCTTGTGCTAAAGGTTTCTTGTTGAAGTTTAAGTTAACAGGGATATGAAAATAATGCATAATTCGTAAAAAAGGAACTGAAGAAGCAAATTGAAGCCGCTGGAAAGACTTGTGTTGTTGTTCTCTTGAGTGAAATAACGCCGGAGAAGTTAAAAATGTTCAGCGACATTAAAGCGTAAGTTATTTATTTAATAATGTGAAAAATAAACTTCACTACGCAATTAAGGTGGGTGCAGATCGCTTGTCCACGACTCTCCATTGACTGGGGATACGCCTTCGATAAGCCCATCTTGACGCCTTACGAGCTCTCCGTGGCTCTCGCTCGTTCTCCGTGGCGCTCGGTCTACCCTGTACGGCATATAACGCATGACTTCCAGTGCCGCATTAACCTCTCTGCCTCCTTTGTGATAGATGGACTACTACGCTAACGACTCCTTGGGCCCTTGGACGCCTAATCACACCAATTCAGAGAGGCGGGGAATATGTTTTTCCAGTAATCAAGGCTGAATATTATAATAGAATGATTGCTGACGATCACAGTATTACTTTTCACTGTAGCGAGCTTTTAAGTTAATGAGGTCCTGCACCAGTTGATTCACTTTTTCAATAATAAGTTCCTTTTCGTCCTCTTTGAACATTTTAAGCAGATCTTCCGTGAGAAATTTATCCGGATGCCAGCGCAAAATTTCTTTTTTTATTTTTTTCTTTATAACTGCTGGGTTCGTACATTTTATATCGCCTAGTAGCAACTTCTCTGCCGACAGCTCCCCGTCTAAGTATGGCCACGGTATATCAGAATATTTCAGCTGTTTTTGTCTGCCATCATTTTCACATTGTAAAGAGTTAAGGCTTTCTGTCCATCTTGCCCATTTACTTTCGTAATCTTCACGCCACCTTGTGTTAGTATCGGTATCGTTATGTTTATTATAAGCTTCCAACAAAAGCCAATGGCCTTCCTCTATTTTGTTGGTAGAGCAACCCGTTTTCGCTTTTTTTACACCAGCACTTTTTTTTTTCAAAGTGTAAGCGCAGTATTTACGCTCAAACTCCACTCTCATTCTATCTGCCCAGTGATCATCGGATTCGGGCTCCAGACTTTTTTGTGCTTCGTATTCTTCAAACGTAAACTTCCATGAAACTAAATAAAAACTTATTAATTCAACTTAAAAAAAAAAGGCTGAAAGTCAAAAATAAGTTACCATCATAATTGTCTTGATCCAGCGCATTTAAAATTTTTTCTTGAAAGTGGTGTTCTAAAACTTCACTATCAAGTTTATGTTCTTTAATTTCCCATGGCTGCCTAGTTACAAACTTTTCATACTTGGAAGTGTATAGTTGTTCAGGCGTCAGACCGTTTGCATCCTTTGCTTTGGGATTGGCGCCGTGCTTTAGTAGTAATAGTTGTATCCTATACATTTTAAGATTTTTGTATTTATTACTTAGAGGTTTAAAACAAGTAGAAGAGACCTCGGATGGTCATATAGAACTGATAAGTGTAAAGGGGTCTCTAAAAAATCGTTTATGGGATCGCAATAAGCATTTTCTTTTTTCAGCAACTCTTTAACTATACCATGATGCCCCCTTAAATTGGTAATTAAATAATTAACATTACTGTATAAGTTTTAATATTTTAAAAGGTACTCGCAAAAATAGTAATAATTGGGCTTTAAATATACCAACGAGCAGCGTAGTGCAAGGCCGTCCAGCCAAAAGAATCCTTTACATTTATGTTATAAGCTATTATTGAATATGTCTATAGTAACCAAATAAATTATATTTACCACAAGAACCTTTTGTAAATTTTTTATCTAATTTATGGAGCTTTGCCCCTTTAAGTCTTTTTGTTGCTTTTTTAAAAGCTTTTAAAGATCCCTTTTTAGCCGCTTTAAAAAAAGAGTTTTTGCGTGACATACCTGCTTTTTATTAAAGAATTTTATTATCTCTCTATAATAATTATAATAATTTTAACATTAAGTAATAATCTTCTTTTACAAAACGACCATATCAATAATGCACAATTCGAATAACACAAAGTTTAGTAAGAACGGTATATAAGGTTATAATAAGGTCGCGCCGGTAACAATATATGCCAAAATTAAATTGCGAGTGTGACTATGCGTTTTGTCGCGGATCTTCCTGTAGTATGATTTATCATTTAGGAGGCACATGGGAAACTTGTTAAAGCAATCACTAATTTTAATTAAATTTAAAACGAAACAAAAGTGTCGATAACTTTTACAGGTTTAATTCGCAATTTAGCAGACTACATTTTTTTATGAGCCTTCTAAGTTTATTTACTGGTTTTTCTTGGTTAGCGGGAAACTCCCTATTCGTGAACGCGATACGAAGAACATACTAATATTGTATTAACTAGTGCTTAAAGTTACCTAACTGCATATTTTTTAAAATATCCTCGTTAACTACTCACTAGGTATTTGAAAATTCACCGATTATTAAAGAGTACATACTAATCTATATAGTTATGTGTATTTATAAGAGTTAAGGCAGAAAATTTTAAAACTGTTCGCTGCCTTCGTATTATACATAATTTTAGTATGTAAAATATAAATGTTTACATTTCAAAACAACTTAAGGACAAACAAAAATGACAAGGAGGACAACATTATTAAAGACTTTTCAATATTGGGCGCTCATCTTTAGGCGATAAAAAGTCATTAAGTTTACACCCCCTTCTAATTATATAATAATATCTTTCAGATTATATATCACTATTTAATTCATTATGCACGCACAAATTTGATAATAATTTTTTCGGGACAGTGAACTTGACAAGTGGAGCATTGGGCTCTTAATTTGTTTTATCTTTCATTACGCTGAAAAGTAAATACCCAACTAAAGAGGGTAGGGAGGCAACTGTCAAGGTACCGTGTCCTAACAAATACCCTTAATTAATTTGCTGCCCCTTGCGGTTTTGGCGAGGTGGGAGCTTCAATATTAAATTAGTAAAACCACAAAAAGATCGAATTAATTTTTTCCGCAAATATTTCAGACTCTCCTTTCAAGCTCTAAATTTATGCCTGTTACTTGACCTGAGATAAACTTCGCTTAAGCCCTTCTTTTAAAATTTTAAACTTTAATTATGACGAAGAATTCAAAATTTTAATTAAGTCAAAACTCGTCAAAATACGTTGAAGAAGCGTCTTCTAGCAGAATGTGGCGGAGTTTTTAGTTAGTATAGAAAGAACTTTTAAAAAGTCGAGATCGAGATTTGAGAAGGGAAATAACTTTATGAAAAAAGTACTTTATAAAGTTATAAAGTAGTTGTTTAAGCTTATATACACATGAAGGAAATTTAGGCGACTATAGAAGGCGGTGGCTTTCAAAATTAAACTTATAGCTAAGAATATTGCTGATTTGGCAACTTAAAGAAGAGTTCAAACAAAAAGGTGTAAACGAAGCGAACTAAATTCAAGTGTTCTTCGTCATGTAAGAGAGCGGAGATCTTCTAAAACTACGTTTCCTTCAATTTGGTAAAGCTTTATGAATTGCTCAGTGTATTGCTCAGTTTTTTCACGACTCTCTATAAAGTAGCTAACAACAATAATAATATTGAATAAGACTTCCTAACAATAAAGTACCTGTTAAACCGAGGGGGATTCGGAAGTGACATATTAACCTTTAATAACACATTGTATTCCCTTTCGGAGCTAATTGTTGTCTGCAAAACCGTTAAACCGCCCTTCCCGCAAAAGGTTACTTTTCTTAAGGGAATAGTTTGAGTCATTCCAGTAGAAGAGTTTACTGTTAGTAACGGAGGTTCCGGTGGCTTAATCTCTGCATTAAAAAATTTATCATAATTTATTTAGGTTATAGGAGAGTAAAACAAACAAAAAAGATTTTTTAGCAATGTTTTTACATATATATGCTTTATAATTACTTTTTGTAAAGTCTTGGAAGTTTGTTATTTCAACTTGGACATATTTATGCAAGTTGTTGGTGCGGTAAAAGCATTTTTCATGTTGAAGACCTCGAGCAATGGTGCCTAGCAAAAAACAGTAAAACTGTAAGGCTTGTTGCCTGCTAAGGAACCTTTAAAAATTACTGTGCGCTCAATACAAAGAAAGCAATCTATTGCAGAGTTGCTCAAAAAAATAAGACCCAATATTATGAAAAAATCACGAAAGCACCTGAGCTTTGCCAGCATATAAAGTTTCAATTAAATATTGTCGCTTAACGATAATATTTATATTTAGCTCAGACCACTTTTACAGCTCAGTAAATTAAGGTGGTTTTTTTTTACTTATAAAAAGTTACATAGTTACTATTCTTTATTGAGCCTTCGCTCGCAGTTTAGACAGTTGCATAAAATTAGTGAAACAATACCAGCAGCGAGTGTTTTTTGCTATTACTAAAAAATAAGTATTCAACGTTGCTGTTAAAAAAGGCAGTCTAAAGCGGTAAAACTAATATTATATATGAGAATGGGACAAAAGCTATTCTTCTAAGTTAAAAAGAAAGCCTTCACTCCATATAGATTACTGAGCGCATGAAAGTTTACTTGATAGATATATTATACCTTCATGAATTGCACGTTGTAAAAAGTTGTACACAGAAAAGTCTGAACGTTTAAACCCGTTACTCAAAAAGTTCTGAAGAGCTTCTTTAGATTTTTCCTCACGTCCAGCTTGGGAGATGTCGTTCATAGTAAATATGCAAACGTTTGAATTTGGTGAACTACATCTACTATGACCACTTTTTTCAATCGCTATATTATTTACTGCTTGCTTATTTTTTTTATTGTTATTGCTAGTATTATTTGAGGATCGTTCTTGATCTTGTTCTCGCCAAAGTTTCTGGCATTTCGGTCTGGTAATAATTGGTGGATATCTTAATAAAATATATCGTAATAAATCGTAATAACTTTCGTGTTGTCTAAAAACTCTAGTACATGACAGAAAAAGTGGTATAGGCAACTAAATGTTATATATTTATTTAAGGGTATAGCGCTAAAACAGTTAAATAGTATTCTCTATTGAAAAGAGTTATAAGGCTTATAGTGCCCTATTAATTTATTACTTAATCATCTGGTAAACCCTTATAACCTTTTGATAAGCAGAAAATTAAATTAAAAACTAATATTTACAGTAACGCTTAAGGTAAAACCAGTTACAAATAAAAGTGGCGAGGGCAAAAAGTCTCATTAAACGGTCTTTTATAAAAATATTTATTAGTTATAGTCAACATCAAACATAATTCCGAAACACTGTAAGGAACAATACCAAAAAGAAAGCGTTCAGTTAAGCAAAGCCTACAAATATTAATGTAACTGGAGGTATAACCAGCTATACAGCACTCTGCTCAATAGTACAAAACGCCTGTTAAATTAAATTTCTTTATCTATAATAACGTAGCAGGGTGAGATAAATTTAATAGTTTTACTAACAATCAGCAAGGTTGAAAAGCTAGTAAAAAAGTTTTAATTTATACAACTAGTTTAAGTTCTCATTGTAGATTTCGGTAAGTGGGGATGGGGGTTACTTAACTAAAACTTCCTAACTTTAAAATAAGATATACTTCCGAATTGGAACTAAAAGGCTCGCGTAGACTAGTCTGTGTATACATAATTGCATCATAACTACTCCATATGCCAACGTAAAAAATACCGTTTAGAAAAAAATATATTTTTTTAATAGTTGAGGAAGATAAAAAATAAATATTATTTTTTTTTTCAAATAAAGCTAATTATTATATATTATTCGTATAATATTTAAAGCTTAAGTATAACATGTTTTCATAAACGTTAATTGGTCAAACCTTTTCTTTTGAAGATTGTAGTTTATAATACTTGAATAATGAAATACATCTGCGCTGGGATCTAAGCAAATTTTTTTATTTTTTGCTTGTAGAATTTTTTTTCCATATTTATCAAATCTCTCTCGAGAACAAATTCTTCTAAAATTATAAAAGAAAATTCAGTGTTTATATTGCATAAGGAAAAGATACTTTAAAACGTTATGGCGTGTTAACTTTATAATAATTCGAAATATAAAAGAAAATTAATGACATAAAAAAGAGACCAAAAAATAACTGAGTATATTATAAAAAATAAAACTTTATAATATGTAATTAAATAAAGACTAACTAATAAAATTGTTAAACAGATATTAGTTTTCACTAAATTATATTATAAAATTGATATGCTTATAATATTATAGAAGTAATTAATTTTTTACTGACCCCTCGGAAAAGTATTATCTATCACAAGTTGTTTAATATCACAGGCGAGGCCAAGATCTGTAGTACGAAGCAACTTTCGATAACTTTGGGCATGGTAAACAACTGACCCTTTTTCTACTCTGTAGTCTCTAATCTCTACAAGTAGGCAGCCATCACGCATCTTTATAAAAATAAAAAATTATTTTTAAAAGTTTTAAGAATTAAATGTTTTTTTTTCTCAAGAACAAAGCTTACGACAACATCTGGTAAATAGGTTAGCAAACCCTCCATCTCCTGCGGAATATAGTTATTGTTAATTTTCTCCAAGAAAGAATGAGTAGAACGGTTATAAGGATGAATAAGAATATCCTCCTAGAAAGGCGAAATTAGTGAAAATTAGAGAAATTAAGTCAAAGTACTTCTGAAATGGAACCGAAGGAGAATCCAGACACAAATAGGTTAATTACAAGCACAACCATAATAAATAAATCAATAGTTGATGTCTGGAGCCTAAAAAAATAATAAGAGGGGTGGTTTAAATACTTTCAAGAAAAGCTATCTCTGAAGAGCGAACACTTTTCTTATTAGTAACCCCATCACTATAATTTTAATATTAAGTAATTAACATATAATTATTCGAGAAGGAACAGTTATCAAAAACTTATAGATTGAATGAAAACTGCTTTTTAAACCTGATAACTGCTCATCTTGACAATATATGAAGAGATGGGCAAAAAATGCTTACTTAAGTAACTGCTGTCCCTTACCTAGTCAAATTTAGTTTTAGTAATACCAAGCCGAGAGGGAAGCAAAGAGTCTTTTCCGGTAAAATATTGTTTTACCTTTAACTACATTGTTAAATGAAAGTGTATATAAGTAACAATATCTTACCACTTACACAAAGTGTTATTATTATTTATTATTATTATTATTATTATTATTATTATTATTATTATTATTATAGTAAATGAGTAAATATTTCCTTCAGGAAAACGGCGGTAAGCATTAACCCGAGGGAATGACAGATATATAAACGTTTAGTTACACCAGTCACGCTAATTCCAAAGTCCTTAAAACACAAAGAGCAAGCAGCTCAAAGGTTATAGTAAATCTTATTTGCATATATCAGAATTAGGCTTCACACACGATAACACCGAGGATAAATTGCATAAAAACTGTCGCAAGATAATTTGTTTCTCAATAACAGTAAATATGGGTCTGTACAATACAGAAAAGTGGGACCAAGTGGATCAGGTACTGCAGTTGTATAACATTTTCAGCCGGAGAGCCTTAGATAAGCGTTTCTTTATAAAAACAGATTCTTGAAGGGTGTATTTATTGCAACTTAATGCTATCTACAGCCAGAAAAACACCCTAATTCGCGTAATGTAAAGCTTTGCGAACAGTTAGGAGATCTTTTAAAAGGAAGTTACAACCGTAAGTTCAAGGTGAACTTCGCTGTATCTTGACTCTTTCAATTCTGTGAAAAAGGAGGCTATAGCACAATACACTTCGCAACTGTCTCGTAACTAAGCCGGATTCAAGGATGATTATGCACAGCAAACCGCTTAATAAGTTTTGAAGTATGCGCACTCTGGTGTAGACTATCATTGTTTTTTAATCCTGTTTGGTAAGCCAACTATCATAAAACTAAAATACCAACTGATTTTTACACGTCAGCTAGTTTATCTCAAGTTTTAAGGTTTTTAACAAACTCATTTATTATATAACCTTTTTGCCTCGTTACCGTCTTAAGCTCATGGTCTGCTATAGAATACAGGGAATTTTGAGGAACTATAATATTAACTTACCATCTCGCTAAAGAGTTCTTAGCCTGTGATACCTAAATGTGTAGTAACTTGTGTTTTAGGCTAGCCCCTAAAAGTGTTAAATTTATTCTAAAGCAAGCAAAAAGGTGACGAACAAAAAAGAGCTCGAACCCCTAGGCCCAAAGGGTCGTTTTACGCCTTTAAACTTATTTACATGCTGTCAAGTAGTACAGCTAAGTAAAAATAAAGTTAAACGCAAATTTCTAAATTACAAAAGTTGGTTTTTTTTATATTACAAATCACTTATATTCTATTCGACTAAAGGACAATTATTTTAAGCCCTTTATTTTAATATAGAAGAAGAAAAATACGAAGCTTTCTTTTTATCTACCAAAGTTGTAGAAGACGTTGGATTTTTTTACTTTTTTTTTTCGTTCCGAACGACAGATTCGCATGAGTTGGCATACTGGTAAACTTATAGTAATCAGGAACTAATATTTATATTCAACCATTTTATACGAAATGAAAAACGTCTTTATAGCTAATCATAAAGATCTCACTCCGACCTAAAAATATAATAACATCGAAAGAAAGTGATCTTATTCCTACCTTGGTCAGGCACCAAGCTTGTCAAAAAGAACATTCAAAGTTTAAGGAATTTAAAAGAAAGCTTAGAGTTGTTATTGAGAAGCGAACACTAATTCTGGCCAAAGCGAGAGTTTATTCCAATATGATAAAAAAAATAAACGGTGTAGGTTATAAGTATTATACACCACCCATGTGTTTGAGAAACTGCATAGACGCCACCAAGCTATCAAGGTTCTTGTTTGTAGTAAAAAAAGAGCACCCCCGGCTTTAAAGCAACCTAAAAAAGATTAGTGTTGCTTTATTCACTTTCTGCTCGTAGATTACGAAACACGCGCCTTATAATTTGTAATTCGGTTTCTGATAATTTTGTGTTTGACGGTTAACAGTGAAGCCGCATATAAATTTTTTCCGAAAAAAACTCCAGTCGACTGGCATATGCAATTGTATGCACAGACGGTGAAGACCACAACCCACATGCCAGCTCAAGACAAATATGCCATCCATTTTCTAGCTTTCCTAACTCTGCTAGACCCCGGTGTGCTTTTATATTCGTATGGCTGCCAACCTGATCCTGTTGTTGTACAGTGTTTATAAATATTAGCTCTATAGAAGGCATACTTGGAAAGTTTTTTATTTTAAGTTTTAAATAATTTTATATTTGTTACTACGCGAATGGAAGGAACGCTTCCACCCAGTAGAGAAGATTTTAAAACTATAGATTGTTACCAGCGAATAGTGCCAGGTGTACTATTTTCTTTATTAAATATTTTAATATTTATTGTATTTTTTTATTACTTTCTTTCTGTTTAAACTTACGTATTTTATTATTTTTCACTACTTGTTAAATTTTATATACGAAACATTTATATATATTGCTCAACAGTTATTTAATTACTAATATTTTTACTGATAAATTTTTAAATTTTTTATTGGTATATGAAATACGAGTCAATAAATTAAATATACATTTATTTTTAATAATGAACTGTTTTACTGTCGGACCATAGTAGTTTTACCGTTCTAATTGTTACGTTGCAAGACTTGTAAGCCTGCTCCCTCGTGCTGTGGAATATCTATTTGGAAGCAATAAAATTTTTTTTAATATCTTTTTAACAAGATTCTTTGTTTACTTTTAGGGCCCCAGAAGAACTCCTCAGAAGATATTCCCCCCTGTCAGGCTTTCTTGCACACCTCTCCCAGCCCTTCAACTGCAGCTGATTCCCTGCGGCCTTCTTTTCCCTGTCCGAGTGGATTTTCTCAGGCCTCTCCCCTGCCTTATGCTTATCCCGCCAGACACCCTTTTTACCCGGTGGGCATGCCCCTTGCGCCCTCCGCTCACCTCCCACCTCCGCAGAACCGCCCTCCCTTCCTTTTGTACCCGCCGCCTAATTTCACACCCTTAACCAATCATACTAGTTTTTCAGCTGGCTTTCCACCGACCCTTCGTCCTAATTTTTTCAACAGTCAGCACTCACCCTCCACACTTCCTATAACATCTGGCAACGTACCAATACTCGAGAAAGAGAATAACACAAAAAGCATGAAGGATTCTGTGGAAACTTCTGAACTTGACCCCAAAAAACTGAAAACTGAGCCTTCTGACGGGAACAACAGGTTTCCTACTACTAATCATGCTTTGTATTTCTAGTTTAATATCTCTACCAATTCCGTTAGTTACAAACTTTACTTTATAGAAGTGGTAAACCGGACAAGCCTATAGCGCGTATTGCTGTTCCTGATTCTTTTTGGTTAGTTGTTTTAACTGCAAGCAACAAACGGTTTTACTATAACACTGTTTCCAAAACATCCGACTGGGATCTGCCTGTAGAGTTGGAGCTAATGGGATTCGATGATAAAGCGGTAGATTATAACAGCTTTCATACTGCGCAACGAATTTCATGTCTTATTTTTTTATATAGATAGACAAACTTATTGAACTTTATAAAATAAATAAGGAAATTAAGAAGGAAAACTTTCGAGAGGCTCAGGAGCCTGAAAAGGATACAGTGTACTTTTATAAGGAAATAAAGTATACAGAACTCTTTGTTAGCTGGGACTTTATGTTTCAGTGAAAGCGCAAACTTGCTTGGAAAACCGCAAATAGAAGGAATAGAGGAAGACGACCAAGAAAAAATAAGCAAGGTAGAGCCAGAAGATAAGTTACAACCCGCAGCAACTCTTTTCTATGACGAACGGGTCAAGCGGTTTCGTGAATTGTTGGAGGAAAGGAAGGTTTCTGCTTTTTCCACGTGGGATAAGGAGCAGACGGTTTTAGGTCGTGTTGCGTAGTACTAAAGTTTCTTTATCCAATAATTAACATTTGATAGCTTTGGACCCGCGCTATAAACTTCTTACGATGAAGGAACGCAAACAAATATTTGATAAATATTGTCGCGAATGCGCTGAGGTTATTATGCTTGTCCGCTTGTAAAGAAATTCCTTTAAAAGAAAATTTAGCTGGAAAGAGCCGAAAAGCGGGAGCAGATAATAAAAAACCGACATTTTTTTAAAGAATTGCTGGAAGAAGTAGTCGACTTAGATTTGCTTTCTTTTAGCGAATTTTCTGCTAAAGTACTTAATTTTTACACTTTTTTCTATAACTTTTTTAATCTTGTTCTCAGTACTCTCGTGATCCGCGATTTAAATGCGTAGAAAAGTGGAAAGAAAGAGAACTTTTATTTAAGGAAGCAGCGGAAGAGTTTAAAAAAAACGCTACCATAAAACGAGAAGAGCGGAAAGCGAGGTCACTGAACTTTTTAGCTTCATCGGCTATATTTTTCATCATTTGTTTTCAGAAATAAACAAGCGTTTATCGTCCTTTTGAATGAAAAAGGGAAGATGCACGTGGAAAGTACTTGGAAAAGGGTGAAGGAGCGAATCACCGGGGATAGGCGATACGATATATTGTCCCGAGAGGAAAGAGGTTAGCACCGCCGCATTCTATTACTCAAAAAAAGTTGCTATAGAATCCTACGAAATTTAAACCTTTCTTTATATGTACGTGTATTAGAAAAATGCTTTGACGAATATCTGACTGAGCTTAGAGAGAGAGATGTAAGCGTTGTGCTGCCGGCATAGTGCCCTCACTGCTTTACCTTTTTTCACGCAGACTGAGTACATGAAAAAGCAAAGAGAAAAGGCATCTATTAAAGAAAGAGAGCGGCTGGTCAAGGCCACTCAAGAAGAGTTGCAGAAAAGTTTAAATAAAGAAAAAAGTAATTTTAAACGCGACGAGGTTCTCTAATTTATATTCTAACTGTTCAATATTAACGCCATCTTATATCAAAGGGAGTCGAAACTTTTAAAAACCTTTTACGAGACGTTATCAGAAAACACGACGTTAGTTTCTATTATCTTTTTCCTTTAGTATGAATACTCACAGACTCGCTCTACAAGATATGCTGGAATGACGCTAAAGAAAAGTTAAAGCAAGATTCCCGTTGGAATTGCGGCCTCACAAGAGAAGAGAAGGAAAAATATTTTTATCAGCATTTGCGCCTTTTAAACGAAAAACTCGCCTCGGCCTTTTGGAAGCTTATTGACGAGGCACAGCATCTGCTTTTTAATAAACACTAATAATTTTCTTATAAGGGCACCTGTTAAAAGGTCTGTGAGTGAGCGTAGTATAACTCTTAACTCCGCACGGGAGGCGCTGTGTTTAAAAATAACTTTCAGAACTGTTATATCTTCTGCTTATATCTTTTTTTGCTGACAGACCAAAGAGATAGCGCTAACTTCTGAATGGGTCAATGTGCGACCTTTAATATGCGATGACTTTCGTTTTGAAAAGTTTGGCGACGATAGAAAAGTATGAAGTACTTCTGAACTTTTTTGCGTATAAGTACATTTTTTTTATAAATTAGAGAGAAGCTGAATTTCGTTATTATATGCGTCAAAAAGTGAAGCAAGCAAAGATAGACTTTAAACAGCTCTTGCGAGAGACAAAAGTTAACACTTCGTTTCACATGTTGAAATTCTTTTAGTCAAAATTATTGCTTATCCTCACAGCTAATAACCCACAAAACTAAGAACGTCATCGCTAAGGATCCTAGAGAGCTTTCAGAAATAGAAAAAGTCTTAAAGGTTCTACACTCCCCACGAATGGTACTAATCAGCCGTATCTCATAAACCGCCGAATTATTTTAGAACGACAAGCGTTACGGGGATTTGGACTGCATTGCTCAAGAGCGCTCCATCCTCCTTCTGGAGTACATCGACGACTTGGCCCAGCGGGGCTCCCCACCACCGGTAACTGCCACTGTAAGGGACCGACCCCTCGTCAAACTAAAGCAAGCCAAGAGCCGAATCCCCTGAATTAGCTCGTTGCTCTACGCCTCATTATGGCTGCCTCTAAGTTCAAAGAAAAGTGCCGTCTATAGTCGCAGCACAGCTTTTAATAAAGTGAAATGCATATTAGTCTTTATTACTTTTATAACTCATCCCTCTCGCTTTCTTCTGCACTTGGAGTCTCCCCTCCCTCTTCATCGTCCATATCCTTGCCTCCTTCCTCATCTTTCGTTTCGCCGGCATCATCGTCCTATAATGCAACGGGGGGGGGGGGGGGAGGAGCTTAGAGAGAGATGTGCGGGTGGTTAATAAGAGAATGTACGTCAAAAACAGGCTCTTCTTCTAGCACTTCGTCAGATCCAATATTATAAAATCGAAGAACGCTGCTTTCAAGAAGCTTCGAAAACTTTATAGGATCCTTAAACTCGTATCCTGTTGCAAATGCAAATACTCAAAGCCGACATCGCGAGGACTCCCGCGATAAAACCCACCGGAGCGGACTTTAGCCATTTCGTAAAGCATTCGGCACATATCGTTTAACTCGGGATCTGCCAATAAGATGTCTTCATCTGTTGCCCCCTCGGCCACAATGGCGTCAGTTTTAGTTAACAACTTTTTAACGATTGGGTGGCGCGGATTAATCTCCAGCTTCAGTTTTTGGTTAAAGTAAATTCTAGCGGCGAGAAGTAATTTAATAAGTAAAGCGTAATGGATGAGTTGATGCAAAAAAAGCACGCACTCGTGGATTCCCCTGTCTCTAGTGCGCGTGTTTTGCACTCTCTGCATGGTGCCAGAGTGCGCCCATTCCTTGGTTATGGCGGCGAAGGGGGAGCTGTGGAGGCGGCTGGAAATAGTCACCCGGTCGACCTCGTCATTGAGCACCAATAACAGGAACTTAATGAGCGATTCGTAAGCGGCCTCCTGTTGCTTAATATATTCCTTCCTTTTCTTCGAATGCTCCCCAATCTTGGCTCCTAAAAGACCAACCAAATACGATGCGTGGAAGGCACACGTCCACGTGCACTATTGACTTACCATCCTTAGCAATATTCTGGAACCTGTAATCCTTATACTCCCTGAAGGACTGCATTATGAACTCATCGATGGAGTCTGTAAAGAACAGGATCTCGTAGGCAAACTTTATAAGATTCTCAGAGAGTGGCGACGTTTTGCACTCATATATTGTTTGGCACGAAAGAAAGTAGATAACCTGAAGCAAGAAGCAGGAAGGTGGTGAAACGGATGAAAACTATGATTTTCAGGAAAGTCGATAAAAACCTTTTGGTTCTTCTTCATTCGAGACACATAGTCCTCCAATGAGGTAAGTGCCTTCTCGTCCTTGCCAATGGTGTAGCTAGACTGGTATCTCAGCAGAGCGGCAAGGCGCTCCTTGTTGGCATCGCCCTCGGCCACGCCCAGCTTGATAAACTTGGAATACTCCTGTTCGTTAGTGTTTATAAGGGTCCTAGCGGAAAGGAGCTAAAGCGTTAAGGAGACCTTCCAGAAGTCGTAGTACTCTTCCGGGTCTTTGGCCAGATTCTTTATCAAGTCGAGAACTTTTTTGGTAATTTTATTGCCCACAATCCTTAAATTGCTACGGCGAACGCTCTCACGGGAGACTTGCAGGGGAAAGTCGGTGGCATCACAGAAGCCTTTGACGAAGGAGATATACCTAAGAATGCATATAACAGCCTCTAAGGCGACGCAAGGTAGTCACGAAGAGGGCGAATACTTGCGGAGAAAGTCGTCGCCGAGATCCTTCGTTATAAAAATGCGATTAACGTGAAAACTGATGTCCGATTTCGGATTCACTAAATAAAAATACAGTCACGACTTTAAAACGTGAATACAGCAGAACAGCTAACAGTTATCGAGGATTTCAAAGGGGGCTTTCCGAGGTATATAGAGCAAAGCTCTGAAAGGAACGTTTCCCTCTACTTTGAAGTGCACGTACGCAAGGGGAGGTTTCTCGTCTTCCGTGAAGGACTTGTAAAACACTGAGGTTACGGGTTAGAGACTAGAACGTGTCATACGGAGGCTAAGCATCACGCACAGTGGTACTCGTCCTTGGTGACCTCGCTGGGATCGCGGGCCCACAAAGGCTTGACGGAGTTCATAAGAGCATAATCAGCGATCGTCTTCTACAGAAAAATAACAAAAACTGAATTTGACCCGCAGCGGGAAAAAACACGCCAAGGGAGGCGACCGTGATGGTCTTCTTCGGCGGCTCGTCTCCAATATCGTCCTCCTCCTCATGTTTGTCTACAACAGTCCCTTCTTTTTCCCCTGAAGCAGTGTCAGTCAACCCTTTTGGGATAAAAAAGATTAGTACCGGCTTCCTCTTTCTCCTTGAGCCTAGCTTCTTTCTCGGCCTTCTTCTTCTCCCACTCAGCCTTCTTTTCCTCGTCTTCTACCTCAACTTCCTACAGCAAAGGTTAGAAAAACGCCCTGAAAAACGAAGCAAAGCAGTAAGAATTATAAACGTAATACCTGTTCCTCCACCTTGTATAGGTAAATGGGATAATCTATAAACTGACTATAAGTTTTGATTAACTTCTCCAATTTTTCCTGCTCCAAGAAGCTTACAGAGTCATTCTTGATGTGAAGAGTTACAGTAGTGCCTCGTACTGTTGGTCGTCACATGATTATGGGATTCTATTATAAGCAGTGAAAAGCTAACCAAAAGGGCCGGCTTCATCCCTGGCAACGACGTAAGAACTGGAGTTGGAAACCCACAGGTACTGGTCGTCAGTAGCACTCTTGCTCTTCACCGTCACTTTATCGGAAACAAGAAACGCCGAGTAGAAGCCAACGCCAAATTGCCCAATCAAATTTTTGCTATCCTCTGCTTTCAAGGTTTTCAAAAATTCTGCCGTCCCAGAATGAGCGATTTGACCTGCATGGCGAGCAAGTTGGCAAGCACAAGCCGCTTAAAATCCTGGAAGTACCTAAGTTGTTGTGAAGTTCACTCTCGCTCATTCCTATGCCCGTGTCAACAATGTGCAGCAGTCTTGCAGGCTATAAAAGAAAGAAAAGAAACTATAAACTTAATTTTAACAAAAGCAACTATAACGACTTTATCGGCCCGGATCTTTATAGTAAGTTCAAGCTCAGATCCTAGATTAGGATTAGTGAGGGAGTGAAGTCGAACCTTGTCTAAGGCGTCAGCGGCCTATCACGCTAAAAATTAGTATAAAAGATAAATAAAGCGGGGGAAAAAACTACGTTCGATATAAGTTCGCGGAGAAATATCTCCTTTTTTGAATATAAAGAATTAATAATTAAGTGCATTAGTTTGTTCACTTCGGCTTGAAAGGGCCGTGCCTCACCCTTAATGTCAAGGGTGCCAGCCAAATTCGCAGTTTCGCCAGATCGCTCCACTTAATGTCACGTAAAAATACAATAAATATATTATGGCAGTCTGTAAAAGCAACCTCAAAACAAAATATCTACTTAATATCAGCAATATGATAAATCATAACCACTTCACGGAATCATTAAATTGTTTAAAAAAAATTACGAAACTTAAACTGAAGTAATTGATATACATAGAATGAATTAACAGCTTAATTGCATACCTTGAGAATCGGAGAGAACGGACAAAACAAACGTTATAGACCATAGAAACAAGTGTTTAAACATTACAAAACGACAGCAAAGTCAAAGAGGTAAGCGCAACGGCAACGACGAAACAAACGACACGCAATCAAAAGGACCCCCACCGGTATCAACCGAAAAAGGCGGACAAACCATAGCGATTTATAGCCTCGCGTAAATTTTTTTCCCGATTATTATGAAGCCCTGTCACACTGTACCCGGAATGCTGTGATTAAATTTGGAGTATCTTTTTTATGACCAATGATTGGTTTTTAGCACGGATAGAAAATTTAACTCACACCTTCAGATTGTGGCAGCCCAACTTGTGGCTATTCTTGTTATTTATTTCCTTTTGGCTATGTACCGCTTTTTCTTTCTTTACACTTCTTTAAATTAATAAATTAAGAATCAGCTAGGTTGTTACCTTTAATTTTTCCAATGAAACTGGCGATTTCAACACCCTATATTAAAAGCATAACTTATTTTACAGTTTATTAAGTGTGTATATAATTGCTTTTGTCAAAATACTATTTTTTTTTGTTTTTAAATGTTATAAGAACTATAGTGAAGGCCGTTATGTCATGGAGAAAAAAAATTGTGTTTAGTAGTGTTAAGTCACTGTATGGTAGTGGCTTAGTTTTATTCTTTAAATAATAAAGTTTTGGGGGCTTGACTAAACAAATATATGTTGCTTAGTATTGTATATGGCATCAATAAGTTCAGTCTTTGCTCTAATTTATGTATTTTTTACGGTATCCTTAGACAAATTTATATTTCCATCTTTACTTGAACTATAGAACAAAAGTTATGAACAATTAGTTAGTTGAAAAGCACAACTTGTTTTTTAGTTTTGTTTTAATGAATAGTTCCGCTGTGTTATATATACGTACTCTATTTGAGAAGGAAAAAATTGTTCCTTATTTAAACTTTAAAATCTATCTATATGGCATTTGAATTGTGATGGGCGTACGCCCTGACTGGCTGACTGACCGACGAAAGCATATATAAGACAATTTCTTTGTTATGTTTATAATAAATTTAGTGACATTTGGCACTTGAACTGCAAAAGCTATAAACTTTTGGAGTTTTGAGGTACGTGACCCAGTACACCGTAAGCATGAGCGATAACGTTCGTGTAAATATTATAAAAATTTCGAAACTATATATAGAGACAAATTTTTAGTCTAAGAAGTCTTTTAACTGGTTATAATCATTTAAATCCAGCGCTAGTTAACCGAAAAGTATTCTGTTACTTTGGAGAAGCATTATTATTTGCATTAAAGTACCGATTATTTTAGTGGTAGGCATCTATTTGTTTCCTAAATACTTTTATCGAGTCGCTCCCTTATTTAGCACTGGGACGCGGAAGAGATTTATAATTGTAAACCAAAATAGGTGAGAAAGGACCATTGCTTGGGCCCTTAGTGGACTTATAAGTTGGTCTTAGTGTGTTAAAAATTTCTCTATTTCATTTTTTTAAATTAGAGCAGCTTCAAACTTTAAGAAATTTGTCTTTATCAACACATAAAAAGTCTTTGTAGCACATAAATATTTTAATATTGAAAATGGTTTTGATCCAAGAGATCTTTTGCTAAGTATAGAAGAAATCAGGGAAGTAGGATCTTAATGCCAGTACATTATACCTATTCCAGAATCTTTACATTTATAAATAAACATTGGGGTTTAAATATGTTGACGGAGAAATAATAAAAGTTAATTACTCTTGAACACTTAATTCCGCCGCCACTTTTAAAGCTTTATTATTCCCGTATTATAAAAAATCTTTAACTGTATTGCGGAACTTTTTTCAAGAAACCAAACACTTGAAAATTAGCAGGGCGGTTAGTCTGAATAACAAAATTGGTGCATCCCAGTAATTTTCGGTCCACTTTATATAGTGAGCCCCTCGTTAACTGCGTTGTGTGAGATCTTGTGGTCTTTGTTATCCAATAATATCCGCCTCCGAATTACCTAAGTTTTGCTATTAACAGTGTACAAATATTTTTCCTAGCCAGGTCTTAAGTCGTTTGAAGAAGTACGGTTTTTCTAAGCTTAAAATTAAACTACAGCAGCTTAAGCTCCACTATTATTTTTGTTACAAGAATTATAATTTTGATCTTTGCCAGTGTAGCGAGCCATAAGAAATATACATGATTAAATTCTACAGTGCTTTCGGATTTTCTCTAAACTTTTTTTCAAATAGATCATTCTAACGAAGTAAACTCTTTTTAATTTTGTTAATTAGCACGTTTCTGCCAGTTCTCCTCAAATTTATTCCCTGTTATATCTGTACTTCCCCTATTTAAGTAAGATTTAAACTAAAATCTCTAAGTTAAAAATTTAGAATTCTATCAGTTGTGCTCTAAAAGTTACCATGGATAATAATCATACCGTCGCCAATCATTAAGTAGTTCGGCGATTTAATTATCGCAGTATTAACTCTTTTAACAAAAACAAACTGCAATAGAATTATATGTGCGTACAGGTCTTCTCTAAAGCGGACTTTTACTCGGATTTAAAACAAAAAGCGTTCCTATAAACTGAAATCTTTAATAGCAAGCAGCCCTACTATTATATAAAATTAACTTTAACGGTTCTACTATTCAAGATTCTTTTTTAATTCCTCGAGATCGAAAAGTACAAGTAAAAAAAAAGGTAACAGAAACCTCTTTATCTTAAACAAGTTCAACGATTTTCTTTATAAGAAAGCCAATCTCCAATGCTCGTTATATACTGCAAGTTACAAACTTTACCATAAATTCTTGTTATATATATAATAAAACGTACATGCCAAAAGGAGAGACAGAATGTTCAGATTGTCGTAACTTATCCAGAACAGAAGCGTTAACTAAAACAAAGTTCATACCTTACAAAAGTTAAAGGAAGTTCAATATTTAAAAGGTTAAAAAAAAAAATACCAAACTTATCTCCACGAAGAAAAAAGGAAAGCTGAAAAAAAAAATAAAAATCGCGTTACTAAATTAATCACAGGTTAAATTTAATAAGCGTTCATAAAAAAACTCAACCATAAAAAGCTAATGAAATTTTTTTTTAGAATACACTACTCAGTTATAAAATATTATACAATATTTTTTACGAAAGTGAAAAACCAGAGCACTTACAGCGCACTTCACGGAAACCAAATCCTTTTTCAGAACATTGGCGTTAGCAAGGGGAAGTATCTGGCCCTCCTGATTAAAAATGGAAAACGAACCTCGAACGAGTTGATGTTGTTCATAAATCTTTTTATAATCAATATATATTGTTAACAAAGTGGCTGTATGTTACTGGTGGAAAGTTTAACCGAGAAAATATATTTTTCATATATTTATGTGTAATTATTATAGACAAACGAATTTATCCTGGGGAAACATAAATGTCAGGTCAGCTGTTTTACGAAACTCTTCTCTTGGTGCAGCAAAAAAAACTTTTCGACCGAAAGAAACACAACGAATCTACAGGAATAATGTAATAATAAATTATAAAAATAGTATAATATCCTAACCTCTTGTTCCGTGTTATGATTAACTTGGCGATAAATATAAAAAGAATCATGTAAAACTTTAATAAGATTGTCCAGGCCTTTCTATTTTTTATTGCAAAAAAGTTATTATAGTAAGAGCAGTAATAGCAGCTATGTGACTTCTTTTGAAAAACGAGCTTTAAGAAGGGGATAAGAATTTAAGTTTTCAGCAAGATGCACTACAAACTTATTTTTCAAAAAGTTCAACCAGTCAAGGTAATCCGTAAAATCAGGCTTGTAAGTAGATGCGTCTCCTTCTTGCAATTTTATTACCTTTTGATTAATTAGCAAAAAAAAAATTTCTACAAGGAATCAAGCATTTTACATAGCGAGCCCGATAAAGAGGGAGGGGAGCTACTGACCGATAAGCATTTCCACAGGGGCCTTTAAGAAATAGAAGCTAAAGTTAAAAAAAAGCATAAAAAGAAAATCAAAAATAAAGGGTTTTAAAAATGAAATGTTTATTTAACGTAAGTACCCGTATAGGAGACGAATACACGAGCCCAAGGTGTCATATGTCTAAAGTATACCATGGGGAATTCTTTATAATATAGAATAGGAAATGAACCATACGCTCCTATATCAAAAAAGGGATCACTTTAACAGTTTTTAAAAAAACTGAAAAAGTAGTGACTACCATGATAGTTGCTGACTTTAAAACGAAAATTCTCCAATTTAAATTTGATAAAGCTTAGAGGGTGTTCAATAAAAGAGTTATGAGCCTTCTTAATAATATCTTGAGAAGAAACTTAATATACATAAATGTATTAAAAAGAAAAAAATAATATATTGATATAAACAAAACACCTGAAAAAAAAGATTTAAATAAGAAGTGTCTATTGATACAAGCAAATCTTGTCTTTAAGATTGGAAAAAGTAGCAAGTAACGCTGGTAGCTAAGGCAGCTGGAAAACATTTGCTAAACTATTGAAAGAAAGAAATAAGTAACTACTAAGATCCAAGGGAATACTCTTTAAATTAGGTACAACTAGTAACTGCATATAAATGCATGAGAGCTAAATAAAAAAATTATGTATTAAAAGCTTAAATTTTTTCTTCTACCGCGTGTTTGAGTGGTGGCTGCTTCTTGCGTTTAGGTGTCGCAGGGCTGGTGAAATTAATAGGTGACTGTGTTATACTTCGACCACTAATTTAAAAATGTTAGTGCATACATACAACAAATGTTACAAGTTGTAAAATTTTCAAGGTCTAATTTCGTTTTGGTGCGCACTCTAAATGGTTCAGCACTGATACATATAAAGTAATTGCTATCCCTGACATGAGTGGAGTGCAGTAGTAGTAAAATAATAAACAGAGGTCATTTATGATTATTTCCTTTTAAAGTGATTAGTGTTTTAATACAGGGAATTTCAGTCCAGTTGGCCCTTAATGAAGAAAATAAAAAGATACATTGTCAAACTTGTGTACCCTTACAACGGATCAATCACTTCTAACTGTGGAATATCCACTTTTTAGTTGCAGTTAATATCGGTACATGTATCAAAACTGTCGAAATTAACCACAACTCCAAAAGAGGAGGCCCGCGGGGAGTGTACAATCCGTTTTGGTCTACACGTTCGACGATACCCCCCTTTAGACTTGTGACGAGGAAGCTGTTTAGGGTCCTCTTTGGTCAATGAACTAGGGTAACTCAGTGGTCCAAGAGCAGGCCCTTTTTCTATCTCTGAATTGAATCCTCCAAGTTTTAAATATCCTCTTGGACTTGGCTCCCAGGAGAACCCTTTGAGGTTCCGGAGTTCATCTCTTTCTTAAGGACCTCTTTGATCTCAGAAACTCCGTGAACTTGTCCGCCTTGGGGAACTAAATCCGTTGCCCCCACAGAGCTTTGGACTCAACTAGTAGCTTGTGGGTGGGGTTTGTGTACCCCACTGAAATTAGTGTTGCTACGCGATTACAGGTAGTGCCAGAACGCTCCCAGTCTATATACCTTTCTGTCAGTTCGCTCTCTGCTGATGTAATACAGGCATGCGGTGAAATTTTTAACTTCCAAGTACATTCCTACAAATCCAATTTATATTTTGCCAACCCCCACCTCACTATCTGTGGTACTGTTTTTTTCTTCGGTGTGTATCATACCTTCCACGGCTTCAGATCGTGTAAATGAACTCGGATGACCCCTGTTTTGAGGAATGGGAAACACATATTTATAACGAGTTAGAGATTAATTATAGAGGTAACGAAGGAGACATCGTTTGACCTGGGCTTCGTTAATGGTCAGGGTTTTAATAAAAAGGTGCTCGTCTAATCTAAACTTGATCTTGGAATGCTGATCAGCCAACTACTGAAAAAAAGCAGAAGACAAAATCCCAAAGTATATTATGGTAAGAACAATTTCAAATGGTCTGCAGAACCCCCATAGTGAAAAGTCCGAACAAGGAAGCATAACATAATTACATTTTTCGAGTATTTTTAGTCCAGCAAAGCAGAGAGGAGATTAAAGCTTTCTGATTAGGATCAAGTGTTCACAGATGAAATACTGAACGAATTAATTTAACGGACAGACGAAAAGTTGTCGGGAAAGAAGTTAGTCTGCGGATTTCTTCAGAAGATTAATATGATACGAGAAACTAAATATTATAGAATTTTGAGCATTCTAAGAGATATTGAGATATTCTTCAGACTTCGAATCTTATCATGAAGCTCATCAAGCAATGTTACAGTTGGCACTGGTTGCGAAATCTTCCGCTCTGTTATTTCTTTGAAGCGGACACTGGTCAATCTAGCATGTGTTCGCTTAATACTGCATCTGTTGGAGCATAGAGATTTAAAACTGATGCAAAAAAAGACTGTAATATCATGGGTATTTGAAACGCTTGTAAAAAATTGTCAATAATGCTACTCTATCGGAGAATACGCGTGCATAGTCGAAATGCTTTTTGGATTTAAAAAGCGTGGCAATTCCGCTTGTATATGCTAATAAACTTGAAAATATACGGTTTAAAAATTACGATATTGAACGATACGAGGACCCACTACTGTTTGGAACCTATATTTATTCTGGCAAGGACAGGGATGGATTTAGCCTTTCTAAAAATGGTAAAATTGGGACACCTGCTCAGTCAAATTTACCGAAATTTTACAGCTGACAACTGGTTCTCATCCATCCCCCTTGCACAGCATCAAAGAAGAAACAACTGTCATTCGTCGGTACCCTAAAAATGAACAAAGAGAAGTACCGCATTAATTTATTCCTGTAAAAGAAAAAGTGGGATGTCCACCCATTTTGGTTTACTAAAGAGTTCACTTTGGCGTCCTTTGTGCCAAAGAGGATAGAGTTGTTCTCCTATTTTCGTCAGTGAACCACGATCGCCGTACACCTGTTTTTTAGAAAACCAGAAATCAATGAATTTTGCGAGGCACGAAAGTAGGCGTGGAAGTATCGAGTTCTTGGTCTTTTCCTTTGATTTTAAAAGCAAGGAAGATACAGGTACCTGGACAAGGCGTGAAGCAGTTAAAGAAGGGCATTACTTATTAAATGCGCCCTCTACTCTACTATTCGACGAAGCAACCGATGGCCTCAAGCTATTTTCGTTACTCTACTGAACATTAGCCTCGTCAATGCCTACGTGTTATTTTATAGTTTTCCTGAAAAACCTGCGCAGAAGGGAATATATTAAAAGTCTTGCTAAACAACTTGTAGGGTCTCAACTGAACGAAAGTCTGCTGAACAGTCATTTTATTTGTAAATTGCGATTAAATACCTCAAAAATTCCATAAATAGCCATCGTACCGACGTATGGGAAAACAAGTTAGGTTTGGAAGATGTCCAAGAGGCAAAGACCGAAAGACTAGATTTGTTGTGTTGAATGTAGCTCTCCAATCTGCGGTAGCTGTACTGTTTTGTCGTTGTGTGGATTGTACTCGACAGATCGCCAGATAGTCTTTTAAATATACTATGTTGTTATATAGTTACGATACTTTATTAGAAGCGTTATTACTTACACAAAGTTAGCATATTATGCTTTAGTTTGTTTTATTATTGAAATAACACGCAATGTCAATATTGTATGCATCCTGTATAACACCTAATTTACATCTATAAACGTTTCTTGTAACGAAAATTAGATCTAAAAAGTTTTCCGTTAAATTGTCTTTAAATAAAAACTTTTTTATACATGGGGCGTTATACTATAAAAATTTGCCTCACCAGTTACGGATTAATCCGCCGAAATTAACCGCAACTCTGAAAAAGACAACTGGCGAAGCGTCGTTGTAAGGGCGCACGTTCAACAAGAACCACTGCTAGGTCAGGAGCTTGACTACAATTGTTACACTTAATCTTACCATTTTATTTCATATTTATAATATAGCAAACTTTAAAGATATATGAAAGTGAATTTTTAGCGATTTGTAGAATCTAAAGTGTCTAGTTTGCTTTTTAACAGTGTATATAGTAAACGAGGTATAGAGTAATAATAACAATAGTAGTCGCCAAATATGAAAAGAAGGTGTAATAAAAAGTTTACTCAAATTT